TCACAAAGAAATCACCTCCATCCACTCTCACCTGCAGGCTCCAGGGAAAGGAGGCAGTTTCTTAATGGTGTCCAAACAGTGGGCTCCAAACCCATCATTTTATTACACAATAAAGAACAAGGTGACCCCGAGACATAAGAAACTCTTAGAGGACAGACACACAGTAAAGTGGTCTTATGAACTCCCACAGGTGTACAGAATAACGACCGACTCTCCTTCAGTGTTGGGGGTTACCGCAGGCTCTGTCATAGGCAAGCATCACAAAGTGCCAGTCTCTCACTCACGCACCTTTCCTGTGCAGTAAGGAGCTGGCCATGTTGTCCTGCACTTGTCACTTATCCTGACTCTCCCCAGGCACACAGGGCACTTCTCTTGCCTTCAGGAAGGAGATTCACCCTCCATCAGCAGGGGTCCCTAACTCAGGCCGCTCCAGCTCAGCACCAATGAGCAGCAGCACCAGAGCCTCAGGGAAACAAACAGAGCTTTTTCAAGACAACTCTGCATTTCCCTCAGAGCAAAGACCGAAGCCCTCACAGCTTCCTCCTGAGGGGGCCAGGGACCTCCCCTGACTTCCAGTCCTCACCCTGGCCCTCGGGCACCAGCTCCTGCCACATTCCTCCCAGAGCTCTCACCTCAGGTCCATCTAAATCACTCCATGCCCAGAAACATTTCCACCACTCCCTCTCGCCTGTGCTCCTCCTTCCCTTCTAGCTGAGGACCACCCTGACCCCTGGCTGAATGTGGAAGCTCCTTTCTCTGTTCACTGCCCCTCACCCCCTGCTGGAGGGGCAGCCCCGGATCTGTCCAGGATGCCTGAGCAGTGTACCCATTATAGGTGTTTGTGAACTACTGCAGAATAAATAAACAAATTTTAAGCTTTCTGCCCTTAATTTCTCTCACACCTTTGGATGTTGCTACAAATCTGATAACAACAACAGCAAAGCAAGAACTGAATCCAGAGACCCCTGTGATCTCCTGCTTGGTGCTTCAGCACAAGGCAAAGAAAAACTCAAAGATGGAATTAAAGAGAGAAACAAGGAGCCAGAATGGTCAATGCTGAGCAAGCAGCAAAAGATCCTGGCCAGGGAGACTGGGATTTAGCTCAGTGGTGCTGTCACCTGCCTTGAAAGCACAAGGACCCGGTTAACTCTACAGCCTGTACTGCTCACAGCCTGCTCTGGGCACAATCAATGGGGCGGTCCCCAAAAGTGAATATAAAAATACATAAACTCACCCAAGAACAATCAAATACCTAGTGCATTTCAGAGTTTTCTCCATACAACAAAGGTAGGCATGATTTGCAGGTGCATAAATATAAATGTTAAAAACTCTGCCTTTCACCTTTATTTGTTTAGAAATCAGATTTTTCTAATTAATTTCCATCAAAATAATAAATATAAAAAATGCAAAACTAGATGCACATTGAATTGTGAATCATATCTGATTGCAGGTATCCTTGTAAATAGATTGCAGTCTCACTTTTCACATTAAACTAGGCAAATACATTAATGTTGTTTATTCCTATCTGAATGAAGTGTGATTTCTGTTACAGACCACATAATCTTGCTTTCAGTACAAACTTGCTCAGTTTCCTCTCCTGGATGGAGAATTACCTTGTGATTTTGCAAGGAACTACATCAGGCTCTCTTTCAAAATTTAAAGGTACTGCTGAAACACTGAGCCTCTGCATTGAGAGCAAGTGTGTTTGGGGAATAAAGATGGAAACAATAGTTGTATCAGGACAGTACCAATTTTGAATGACGACAGGAACAATGCTTATAGAGAAGTGCTACCCTATCAAGAATGTAGAATCCCATTAAGATTTCCAACAATATACAAAAACCCTAAAGCAGCATGGATGAAACAATGTTTGGAATAAATATTTCTACTATCTCAAAATCTAAATTAAGAAAAAAAGTATCACTACAAGGAATTACTACAAGGGAGATGAGACAACTTCACAAACCTAAACAGACCAGTTTCCAATTTCCCATGCTATTCACATTCATTTAAGTCTCCACGCAAAGAACATGAGCTGTTTGTGATCCACTGAGCATGACAAGGGGGAGAGGAGGAGAGGAGAGGCCTGAGATAGCAGGAGCGACCACTCAGCTCCGGAAACCCTGGGCGGCTATCAGGAAAAGATATCCTGTGACATCTGTTCACAATGTGAAACAGAGTAATATAGGGAGCTCGGGAAAAGTTGTAAAGGTTGTAAGTTAGACATCCACAGTGTGTATTCTGCGAACAGCTGCTTCAGAAAATGGAAAATGGCTACTACTCCTAGCTCCCTACAAACTTGTTCATTTGCTTTTTAAAAATCAAGAGAGTATCAAAATGAAGTTCATTATCTTTCACACAAAATTATCTTGACCATATGATCCTGAATAAGAGATCGCATTAGTGTCAAAATGAAAATTTAATACACTCTTACTGAAAACTATTAAAATTGATCTCTTCTCTTAAAAAAAACCTCTATCACTGCTTAAAATAGCAGAAAGAGACTTTTATATTAAAATATTTCAATGGTTGTCTAAAATGCTGTAACATGAAGTAGACAGAAAATCTTTATCTACAGTTTTTATTTTACTCTCTTTCTTCCTACTAAATGTATGTTAACAAAAAAATCCTCAAATGATCTAGACAAAAGCTTTTAGCTCAACACATAATTGCAAGAAAATTACAATAATTGTACCAATTAAAATAATCTTGAATGAACAGTATGTCATCTTAATGTGCCAATGGTGTATAGAGGGATCCACTTAATTAGCTGAAATTGCTTTCCAGTGTTAGTATCAAATGTCATTTGTTAAAAAGTTGAACAATTTAGAAAATAATTTAACAAAGCAATTTTACCAAACACCAAGAACCAACATTTTCTTTTTCAGCTGAATAAAGCAAGCAGATGTGTCATCAAATTGCTATAAAAATAAATGAGGCTTTTTATGGATTAAAAAAATACATTTTACTACTAGCGTTAAAAATACTATTTTCTGATTGTTTTTACCAAATCAGATTTCTTTAATAAAATAAATGAATATCAATTATATACTGCTGCCTTTTGTCGGCTGTAAATAAAACTTTTTATTATTCAAATGACAAGCATCAAAGAATTCAACTATGGCTAATTAGAAACCGTCATCTAAATCATTCTAACATCCACCAATACATGGCTTTCAATATGTTGATCCAATTGTCTTCCTGTAGTTTTTTCACTCTAAATCATCTTATTCTATCCACTTTAAGTCAACTCCTTATGAATTCTTAAACACTGCTTTCTATATTGTCTTTTCCTCTTCCTTGGTCTAGCTACAAATATTCTTAGTATTTGTAAGCACACAAGATACACATATTTCTCCAAAAAGAAAATCATCTCAAAGTCACTGTGAATCCAACCTGCTCATGCATAGTAAGGCTGGTAAGGCTGCTCTAACCACAAAATAAAGCTGACATCACTATACCTCCAATACAGAATATTCTATATTTACTTGAACAAAACAAAATATCCCCCTACAAAAATCCCTCCTAGTTATTTTTGTTACATATGAAAAATACCTCTCAAAACATTTCTTTCACAAACACTCTGTTTTCCATAAGCAGGGTCTAATAATTACTATTATCTCTAAGCTATATGTTAGAAAGTCTCCTTTATCTGTAATACGTATTTCAATTAATTTAAAAATATAAATTTTTTAGGGCTGGAGATGTATCTCAGTGGTAAAAGACTCACCCACCATGCTCAAGGCCCTGGGCTCAATCCCTAGCACTACCACCACCAAAAAGAAAAAAGTGAACTTTTGAAAATTTCTTATGAGGCTCAAAGTGCTAGAAATCAGAATAAAAAATTTAAAAAGTCAAGCAAATCTCTATCAACAAAGAACAGTGTTTTAGACTAAGATGTTTCCTACCATCCAGAAAACAACAATCTGGCCTGAGACTGATAAAACTTGACTGATGAACTGTTTAAATCATCTTACTTCTGCTTTCTTCCAGTTGTTTCAAATATGCATGTTTTGCTTTCAATCAGAATGTTAGTCCCTCAAAACTCAAGCATTTGGGGGCAAATCACACACACGTGGTGGACCTCACGGTGTGGGAAGAAGCATGCGCACGTGCATGCCCAAGTGGACACGGAAGCAGGTGGGAGGATGAGCATGCCAGAACCGGGTCACATGGTAGAGCAGGGCAGTAAGCAGCTCCAAATGATAGATGAGCACAGGGTGGGCAGAAGGGTGCTTCTTACTATTCTCATTCTGGCAATGGTTTTTAAAGTTTTGGAGTATTTACAAGTGGAAAATCGCTTTAAATTTAAAAACGTCTAAGTTCCTTAGAGGTATAACATGCTTTACAGTCAGCTCTCTCCACCCTATCTCCCTGGCCAGCCCCTGTGACACACAAAGCAGAAAGACAACTGTAAGTTGTCCTGATCTCAGTACAAAGCCACACTGAAACAGGTCCCTAGGGAGAAGTAACTGGAGCGAGAAACACAAACCAGGGCAGCAGAGAGGCCTCTATACTGAGCCACCCCGGTTTCTTAGGAAAGACGAGCGGGGCCAAGATGCAGCTCAGTGTAGTGCTTGTCCAGCCCATGGGAGGCCCTGCTTCCAACCCCAGCGAAGGAAACAAGGAGCCACAGCCTACGGAACTAGAGCCACCTTGAGTTACTTCTGTGACTTAAAATGTGCCTCCACTTTATCCAGGGTGTCCTAACTTCCAATCCACTACATAACTCCTCAATGATGGCTGATCCTCTCTGACATATTTTGATTTATACACAATAATAACAATACCGCAAAGATAAATGGGACCACTGAGGGCATTATGTTCAAACAGATCATGTGACAATGAAGTCCTGTGCTCTTGCTGTATGAGTCAGGTTTTAACTGAGCAGTAACATGCTCATCTAACCAGTACTGATCACTACACAGCACAGGGTCCCGACAGACATCTATCTGGATGTGCCCTGAGGTAAGGTCTATCCAAAGGAGCTGGGCAAGTACCTCTCATAGATGGCTTTCAAGGTCATCTGGTCGGGAACACCTTCGGTCTCCTCCAGGTACAGGATGAGCCACGAGGTGCGGTAGGGCCACTGCTCAGTGAGGTTGATCCAGCTCGCCAGCCGATCCCAGTTGAAAGTAATCTGATTGGCTCTCAGTAACCGCCCTTCAAGGAATGCAAACACACTTGAAAATTAATAGATGTGTGACATTACGTTAAGTAAAACATTTTGTATATCCATAATTTAAACTTTTTAAATCTTCCATTAAATTATATACAAATTCAAATTTAGTGTTTATAGAGTTTCTAAAGTCCAGAGAGCTGCACTATAAAGATTCTAAGGACTTGAACATAATTCTGTTTAAGTCTACAGTGATTTTTTTTACTTTGATTTGCTACTGATTTGACCACATATATGCAGGCAAAAATCTCTCAAACCGTGTATCATGCAGTCTGTGCTCCCTACAATGATGCCCAGAATATAAGTCACCAGGGCGGTGCCATCTTCTACGTGCCACCTGCTAAGATCCTGCCGACGGCCCCCAATGGGCCAAACACCCTGGCCCACCCTTGTTTAGTTACAGGCAGACTTGCAAGCCCACACACTTTCATCTCTATGTGCTACGGCTGACTATGCAACTGACCCACCAACTGACTTCCGTCCCTAAAACCTGTTATTCGGGAAGATTCTGGGTTGCTGATGTGGCTCTGTGCATCTTTGCATGGGTACATGTGTGTTCTGTTTTGGGTGCTGGACTGAATCCAAGGGCACTCTGCTGCTGAACTACATCCTCAGCCCTATCTATTTATCTAGCTATCTACCTTTTAGTCAATCAACCAACCAACCAACCAATCTCACTAAGTTCCCCAGGCTGGCCTCGAACTTGTCATCCTGCCTCAGCCTTCCAGGAAGCAATTAAGCACATGGCACCACATCCAGCTATTATTGCTTTCTCCATTACTGTCAGCTGAGTTTGTGTCTCAGCTCAGATTCCTGTTTCTCTAGTTCAAATATGAACGAGCCCTTTCTCTACTACTGATGCACAGCCCACCATCCAGTTCTTCAATCTCCAGACTCACACTCCCTCCGCTAATCTGCTTACACAAACTACACTGCCATCACTGAATTCTTTCCCCCAGAAAGTGGGATCTGATTTGCTAATCAGTGAGAGGGAATTTACACTCCATCAAGCAGGAGCTTCGGTCACAAGCATCTGAGAGCCAGGAAACCTACAGACTAGGGCCACCCTGATGCCGGGACAGAATTCATAACCAAACAGCCTGGTCCGGCCTTCAGGGAGAAGCAGGAAGCCAAGTGGGGAGTGGGAACTAAACTAATGACAGATTACAATGAGATGAGGAGCTCTACTAGGGTATCAACAGGTGAATACAGAACTTAAACATTTACACTTCAACAAAAGATCAGGCAACAAGAAGCAAACAGTAAAATAAGCTTCTAACACTGGCAACACATGTCTTCTACAATTTTCAAACTGAAAAAAGCTTGTGAGAAAAACATGTAGAGCTGAATGGGAGACAAGTTACACCCATACATGTACAAAGCTTCATCCCATAATGAGTGGATGTGACCCTCAGAAGAGCAGCTTGGAGTGAGGCAGTGAATGCTCCCAATATAACGACAGCTGCTTTACTGAGTTTTTCAAACTCACTCAGGGGTGGGGAGAGAGGTCAATGGTAGAGCACTTGCCTGGCATGCCAGAGGCCCAGAATTTCCTGATACTGAAAAGGCAAACAAAAACCAAAAATTCACTCATTCAGGATGGTCGTTACTGACAAAAGACAGACTTAATGTCTGTCTGACAAGAACTCAAGACTGTCAGGAGAGATGAGGAAAGAAAAGACACTCAGGAACTACGTGGTATGGCTGTGCTGGAGATATGTACACATGTATGGCCATATGAGGACAGAAAACCAAGCACCATGTCCAGGCAGCATGAGGGAACGTGTCCCCAAACACCGGCCTCCAGAACTAACTAAACTATGGAGCAGGAGGGCAGAGGCCAGGGAAGGATGAGAACAAAGGACACAGCAAGGGCTGGGTCGGAAGGAACTGGTCATTACAGAACATAAAAACTAATTTCTGAAATATCAGTGAAAAAAAGTGTTCCATCATAAGGATATATCCAGCCTATAAAAAGAGAGAAAGCTGGGTGTGGTGGCGCATGGCTGTAATCCCAGCACTTGGAAGGCTGAGGAAGGAGGACCACTGTGAGTTTGAGGCCAGCCTGAGCTACAGAGTGAGTTCAAAGCCAGCCTGAGCTCCATAAAGCGACAGGGAGACCCTGTCTCAAAACACCAAAGAGAGAAAGAGAAAATGTTGTCCAATGAAGCTATCTAAGATTATTTTTAAATTGTATCCTCAAAAAAGCCCAACAATATTGGGAAATGGGAAGAAAATGTTCAAATGGGAAGGGGAACAAGGGAGGCGGGAGGGAGGAAGGAAGGGACCAAAAAAAGGTGAAAATAGAAGGAAAAAATGGAAACAAAGCTTCTGTTCATAGGGAGGGGAGGAGGAAAGCAGGACAAAGGGGGCAGGACATACCATGCACAGGTACAAATTCCCTACCATGCGTGTTATCATTACATATGCCTAAAATGCACCAATAAATGTTTGGCTATAAAAAGAAAAAAATGTCCAACAAAAAAATTTCAGACGAAGCACAACTTTTAGATAGGAAACTACTCAATACTTGTCAATATTTATCTACCAAAATTCCAAATTCGTTTCTGATATTAGCTCTGCTGTGCAACTTTCCTAATGTTGACAACCATCTGCAGTGTTTAACAGATAACACACATTTCTGCATAGATGGGAATGAAAGTTTCAAAAGGAGAATCCGGGCATGGTGGTGCCTGCCTGTCAATCGCAGCACTCTTGCAAGTTCAAGCTCAGCCTGGGCTACTTAGTGAGACCCTGTCTCAAAATGAAAATTAAGGGCCAAGGATGTAGCTCATCTCAAAGACCTGCAAGACACTGTGAGGGTGCAGGTATTTATCTTCAGCAAAACGGGACGTCTGAGAGTTTTGAGCGGAGAAGGAACACGGCTGGCTTCCAAAGGGTCACTGGACTGCCAGTGGAGAGCAGAGTACAGGGGGCAAAGGGGCAGGCCCAGCTGAGGCCACTGCAATGACAGACGCATGCAGGACAAAACGGTGCTCCGGGGAAGGAGAGATGGTGAGAAACCAGAAGTGGCTAAGCTCCGGATGCAGACTGAAGAGGGAGCTAGAGAATCAGCTAACAGACTGCAGGTGGACTATGAAAGACATAGTTAACATCTGTTTTGCCAAAGGGCTTGAAAAAAGAGAGTAAACACATGGGAAAGATTACGGGCGGATTCAGTTTGGGGCAGAAAATTGAAGTTCAATTCCGGACATATTAAACATCAAATGACGATCAAACACCATCAGCTGTCTAACAGACAGACACCTGAGCATTCCTGGCAGACAGTATCTGAACCTTCAAAACTACATGGCCACCAAGGGAGATGGCCTCGGTCAGGGATGGCTGTCAATGATAACAAACAGCCCGCCGTGGCACAAGTGCCGTAGGTTCGCCACCACTGGTCCAGGTGGAGAAGCAGAGCTTCAAGGTGAAGGGCCGGATGGGACAGGCAGGGGAAATGCCCCTGGAGCGAGGGAGAAAAACCTGGGAGCTGAGGAAGAGGTGCCCCAGGAGGAGGGGTGGCCAGCACACAGTCCCTGCTCAGTCCTGAGAGCGAGGACTGGAGGGGCTGGAGGGATGAGAGGGAGAGGAACCCACACACGGGGACCACACTTATTTCCAGGAGTTCTTCTGAGAAAGGAGGCAACGGCTGTGATGCACAGAGGCAGAGTTCAGAGCTGTTCTTGGGAAGATGGAAGCGAGCTGTGCAGAAGGGCACGATCCCACTCATGTCTTCTCACCCTGGCACTCCTCTCGCAACACGATACTTCTCAGTCTCCACAGGGCAAGACTTTATCCTGTTCACTGCTTCATCTTTACAACATCGGGATCAGGCCTGGGCACGAGGTAGCTACTCAGTACGGACGGCTGAATGACTACACGAGTGTCATACATAACACAGTGAAATGCTTCCACTGTCAAACGCGTGCACAGTGAGGTTATAAATTGGCATAAAACTGCCTTTATATAGAGAAAAATTAAACCTGACACGAAGTAAGACTTAAAGTCATCAAGTTTTACGTAACAATGTGCAACCGATGGTTGATGTTCAAAATGAAAACACAGCTGGTACTTAGCAATGTACACATCTAAACACACACATGCCCTTGTTTCTGAAAGTTTACTGCTTTGATGGTAACCCTTATCTACCGCAGTCAGTAAGAGAAAGTCACCTGTCACGGAAACAATGTTGAGCAACCTTCTCATGGTCTGAGGGCTGATGTCGCTGAACCAGTCCTCGGTGACCAGCAGTTTTGTGAGGTCAAAGGACATCTGACGGGTGATGGTCCTCTGCATCTGCCTCCTGCGGTAGGTATCCTGAGAGAGAGCAGGCAGGGGCAGTGAGTCGCACTTCTGGTCTGAGAACCAAGGCTTTTGGAGAAGTTAATACAACGAAAAACCCGCCATTCAGTCGAGGAGGACCGCGTACTAATGAAAGCATCCGCGTGACAGTGCCCCAGGCAGAGCCTCCACAGAGCAAGCGAGAGCGGGCCAGTCCAGCGAGGGACGCTCTGCACGGTGGCTTACGGCTGTGCACTCGGAGACAGCTCAGCACCTTTCAGGTTCTGATAAGCACAGCTGTGTGACAAGATTATGTTCAGACCCCATGGAGGCTCAGAAGTTCTAGGAACCCCATGGTAAAAAGGGCAAGGCAGCCCCTGCCTGTTTTCAAGGACTCAACATTTCAACTGGCAGGTTCTGTGAAGTATCTGGCCACTCCATCACCTCCATCAGAACCCCAGGCACTGGGCAGGGGAGGGAGAGCTACGGAATCCTGCCTCCAGGGACTGGTACATGCAACCAGACAAGGACTGCCAGGAGTAAAATCTGCAGTGATAAATGACACACACCTCTGACTTTAGTGCCACCATTGTCATGTGTCATGTTAACTTTCTGTCCACACCCGAAAATGACAGAGGCAAAAAGTCCAAACCAAAACAAAACAAAACCCCAGTGCCATGCTAGCCCAAGCCAGCTGCCCCGAGGTAGCCCTAGCTCTGCGACTTCCCTGCCAGGGACTTTCTGCCAGGGTCTCCTGCCCTCATGCACCGGGCTGAAAGGCGATGGATTCTCGTTCGAACGTATCTGCGCACCTCAGGCAGCAGTATTTACAGAGCTGGTTAGGACTGGGCTGGCAAGCGCTTAATTTTATCTGGCTATCTGGACAGACAAAGCTCAAAACAAAGAACCTCCTACCCGTCTGTTGAGGGCTGTCCGGCTCCCGAGCTTTGTCAATTCCCCCAGGCTGTTCTGTGAGACTCTTCTGTCGACGTCTTCCTGAAGCCCTGAAGGAAGCATCAAGAGAGCACCATTCCCATTAAGCTCTGTTGAGGGAGACTTGAAAGAGAGGTGAAGCACCAGCAGTGCTCTCCAAGGTAAAGGCAGAGTCACCATAAGGCGACTGCCAGCCTGACTACGTCAGGAGCCTGACCCTTACCTGGGGCGTCTGAGCATGCAATGTCCCCATTTGTCGTTGAAGTCACCAGAAATTTTCGTGCGTTGCTTAGTCCACGACTATTGAGGAAGACGGGCAGATGAACAATGTTGCGCATGTAGTCGTGACCGTTGATGTTCGAGTCCCGGAGCACACTGTTGAGGTTCTGGTTAATGGCCTTTATGATAATGTGTGGGTCACTTGCAAAAATGGCAATGAACGGGCCTTTGGAAAACAGAACTCGCACCTGGGGGAGAAGAAAGGTACAGTTCTGACATATATAAATTATCCAAAATAAAGAATGTCTTTCCAAAATCTGTGCTAGCCTTTAGTGACTAACATTTTAAGACAGTTTTCATCAGATTTCATTCTGTCTGGAAACTGATTTTACTGACAGCTCAGTCTGGGATTGCTGCCATCTGACAATAAGGAAACCTTCAAAGAGAAGCACGCCATCCTACTCTGAGAGTCTTGCAGCTCACACATGGCTTAGGTCACACAGGACACGCGTGAGGTCACGGGCACACTGCCCACTGCCACACCACCACTGTCTGTCCCAACGGCCCCCCGGGCACCCTGCAATATGCCCCTCTCTAACACAACCCACCCAGGCCTAGGTGCCCTGCGTCACCCCGGAGTTTCGACGTAACCATATGCAAAGGCAAGCAGCAGCCACACACGGGACTCCAGAGATGCTTTATTCCTTCCTTTCCTCACGCTGCTATTTAGCTAACAACATTCAAATGTCTTTCTGACAAAGCCTTTACTGCTGCTGTGTCCACATAAAGAATGGTTTTTACAAAAGAAAAATCACGAGAGAAACTAGCACTACTCCGCTCCACTGGAGATGCTCTGTGAACACGCACGCTCTCCCTGCCAGTGATACAAGGGCCTGGGAACGTACTGTGTCCAGCATCTGCAGCACTTTGTCCTGCTCACAGGCATCCAAGCCATCGATGATGACCACCAGCCTCGTCTGATTCTGTGTGAAGCTGTCGATGGTCTTTGCCATCCTGGCCATCAGCTCCACTTCCCACTTCAGCACCTGCATGAAGGAGACACAGACAGCACTGAATACGCAAAGGCAGAACAGGAAGGCTCCCAGCAGGTGGAGAGATGTTGTTATGGTTTGTGTTCAGATGTCCCCCAAAGCCTCATGCCAATGAGGTGGGACTTCCTTTTTCAGAGGCAGCTGAATCTGGAATGTGTGATGCTTGGGTTAGGGCGTGTGATTACTAAACCACTAGGTGCGAATGATTAGTTTGGCACTGCCCTAATCCCAGTAGTCTGAATAAGATAAAAAGGGCAGGGAGACGCTGTTAAACTCTCCTGTTACCTTTGCTGCCCTGGGCACACCATGTTGTTTCTCCTCCGTGATGCCTGTTTGCCGTCCCAGCCTTGGAACCAGCCAATTATGGACTAAAACTTCTACGAACTGTGAGCTAAATAAACCCCTTCCCCCCTAACTTTGGGTGTCAGGGATTCTGACTCAGCAACAAGAGAAAAGTAACTAACACAGATGTCCACAGCCCTGTCCCCATCACAGGTCCTCCTGCGCCAGGTTCACACCTAGAGCACCAACTTCCACACATCGCTAAGGGGCAGGGACACAGCCGCACAGCTCACAGTGCCAGAAGACCTGGACTGGAATGCAGATCCCAAAGATTCACTGATGTGCAACCACTGCTACCTCCCCTGGCTCTGACTATGATCAAAGGAAGGAGCCATAGCTACTGCATATGATTTGAGGGTTTGATTTGCTTTTTTTTTTTTCAATTTGGTTTTTAAAATTTTTTTTTTTAATTTTTTTGGTATCGGAGATCGAACTCGGGTCCTTGAGTTTGCACAGCAGGCAACAAAACCACTGAGCTAAATCCCCGGCTCTTGCTTTAAAAAAAAAAAACAACAAAATACATGTGATTACTTTACTAGGCTCTACAAGAACCTATATTATTAGTTAGTAATGATCACCTGTGCAACAACATCTTAAATTCTTTGAACATCTTATAAAAGCCTATTTTTTTTGTTGTTGTTGTTAAATTCTTTTATTGGTACATTTTAGGAAAGGCTGTCTTTTTTTTTTGGTACCAAGGATCAAACTCGGGTCCTTGTGCTTACACAGCAGGCGTCAAAACCACTGAGCTAAATCCCCGGGCCAAAAGCCTACTTTATAAAAATATGCTGTTAGGGTCCAGGATTTAGCTCAGTGGTTCTGCCACCTGCCTCGCAAGCACAAGGACCCAAGTTCGATCCCTAGTACCAAAAAAAAAAGTGCTGTTAGGATAACTTTTTTCACTCCAAATATATACTTCCACAAGAAATATAGAACAGAACTAACAGTAAGTACAACTTCTGGTTCAGCATGTAATTGCACATCTGGGAAGTCATCAACCCTCGATTACCTATGTTCATGCATCCATGTCATTGTGCAGGGAGGGTGGGTTGTCAGCTGGATAGGATCTGGGGTCCATCCAGGGGACTGGTAGGGCATACTTCTGAATGTGTATGGGGGAGCATGACCTTGGAGTCTATGCCTGGTTCCTCACCCATCCTCTCTGGCACTGTTCCCCTCTCTCCTTCCTGGCCACCATGAGATGAGTTAGCAGTTTTGCTCCCCTACACCCTTCTGCTATGCTCCTGTCTTGGAGTAGCCAACCATGGACTGAATCCCCTGAACCATGAGCCAAATTATACCTCTCCTCCTTTAAGTTGTGGATGTCAGGTATCATGTCCAAGGCATAGGACAATCTCATGTATACAGACACACACACACACACACATTTATATAGCTAAGTGAAATTAATGACAGCAAAGATACTGAGGTCAGGAAAGATGAATTAGGATCACCCCTGCGAAAGGGTATATATATAGTAGTATTATTGAAAGTAGGCTTGGATCAGTTGTAAATGTATACTGTAAACTCTGGGCTAACACTAAAACAAAAATACTCAATTAAAACCACAAAAGAAGAGCAGAAGAGAAAATACAGCAACAAAGAACAACGGTAGCAAATAGAAAGCAGTTCAGAATTGGCAGAGCCTAATCCCATCTATGTCAATAATCTCTTTGATATCAATAGTCTAATGCACTAATTAAAGACACAGATCAAAAAAGAACCAGGTAGATATGGTGGCACAAACCTAAAATCCCAGCACTCTGGGAGGCTGAGGCAGGAGGATATCTCTGTTCTTTCCTCTGAATTTAGCTGTAAACTAAAACTGCTTTTAAAAACTGTTCTTGAAGCTGGGCAAAGGTGGTACACACCTGTAATCTCAGCACTTGGGAGGCTGAGGCAGGAGGATTGCCACAAGTTCAAGGCCAGCCTGGGCTACACAGTGAGTTCAACTACAAAGGGAGACCCTGCCTCAAAAAACCAAAAAAACCCCCCAAAACTCTTCTTGAATAAATGAACTAAATGCAACACCTTAACACTTAGAGAATGCATCCCTACAGCCCCAGGGAGCAGAGCAGTGGTTGCCTATTCACGTCATAATTTTGTCTAAGAGCCAATGAGTGCTTACTTTCATGAAGCCCTCGCTCTTCAGTTTGTGCAGTCTGGAGGCAGCATGGTGGAGGCGCTTTCTCTGGGAGTTCAGGAGAGAATCCAACACTTGCCACCAGGTGCGACAGTTCAGCACTAAGGCCAGCCCAACGACAGATGCGATCGAGACAAGCACAGCGTTCACCGTCAGGTGTCTTGGGTCCACTCTGAAGACGGCCAGAAGTGTGATTCCAGCAATAATGCAGCCAAGCAGAAAAAGGAAGATAACAAAAGATGGCAGGCAGCATGTCTTCTTCCATTTCTTTTTACCTGTAAAGCAACAGATGGTTTGAACAGTTACCAACAAACACATCAAGCATGCACTGCTGTCACGGCATCTGATAACCGATGCGCTCGTTGAGTTTTCACAAGAGAAGCAGGACATTCCTCCCACTGCCAACCCCACACATGCAGGAGGAAGGAAATCCCACCCTGGCTCTCTTCAGTCTTGAAAACTCGAAAAAGCCTGGTTGCCAAAAAGCCAAACTCTCTCTCACAGGCATCCGAGAGGGTTGCAATCATTTCAGCCAGCGAAGTTTCTCCGCCAACACTGGACAGTCTGTTGTAATCTGTAAATAAAAACCTGCAGGGAAACACAAAACACTACTCAGCTACCAAAAGTAACAACTGCAACGCGTGTCATCTCTACATCAGGGATATTTTCCTGAAGCTCCTCCCAAAATTTAAAATTCAGAGGAGGAAAAAAAATCTCACAATTAGGCACTGTCTACTCCCACCCACCTTCCACTCCTCAGTTAGGGTAAGAAACTGAAGTGCTGCACAATTGCAGGGAAAAGTCGATGACAGGAATGTCAGAAATCTCAGCAGCCTCGCGGCACTGGGATTAAAAGGTGGTCCCCCATGTCAGGACGAGGGCAAAGAGATGCAGTTTCCTGACACCAGCGAAGACTTTGGAGGCAGAGAAAATATTAATTCTTCTAATTACAGTCATTATGAATTTCAAGCCCAGTAATGCTATTTAAAAACTCAAATTTCAAATATCTGATTCTATAGCTTCACCATCCAGCAGGGATGCAGAAACAGTTGTAAAATATTCTTTTCATAGCTGTTCTTCTAAATAACTTAATTCTTTGTATCTGGAGTCTCTAGATCATTACTTCTGCACTGGTTCCTTTCTCTCCTTCCAGCCCTATATTAAACTCGTATCTAACCTAGTACGTAACTATCGCTTTCAAGAAGTGCTCTGGGATGACGCTGTGCTACACTGTGCAGTCTTAGGTGATGCTATTATAGTTGTTCCAACTTAAAAAGTGCTATCACATTAATGAAGTGTTTTTCTTATTTTCTATAAAGGTATCTCCCCTGATTGTATTCTACTTGTAAGTTTTCCTTTAAATGTCTGGATTCTAAATTGCTCTCTGGGCACTTAGGCCACATGCTCACTGGAGGACCACTCGGCGATCAGGGCATCCTTCCGGGACCAGCTCAGACTCCGTACAGGCCCCACGCACCCCCTCCAGATGAAATCACTTCTCAGTTGCTTATAATTCCTAACACAAAGGAAATGCCCTATGGATAGCTGCTACAATGTATTGTTTAGGGAAAATGACAAGAAAATCTGTACATATCTCTGCTGATCTGTGGCTGCCTGAACTCCCAAAAGCAGAACAGAGGCTGGGGCTGCACAGCAAGGTTTCTCCTCCATTCTTTTCTCTTACATTCATAGTTTTGGTGCTTCCTCTGGTTTGACGTATTTATTTTCATCTCAAATGATACATATTTTATCTTATCATAATTTTAAAGTACTTAATCTTTTAATGTATTTTAATTCTTTTACAAATGCCTATTGAACTTGTTGAAGGTTATTCCCACCAAATGGACCGACTCACCTCACAGGTAAAGCTTTGGTGGTTTGTTCTGGCAATTCGGGTGGATTCACAAACATCAGCTTGAACAAGAGCTCCAAATAGCCAATATGTCTGGCCAGCCTGGTACTGAGGACCCAGGCCCAATTCCAGCTCTCTCCTTCCCGTCGTCCACCAAAGTAAATGACAACTGAAATGCACAGTTTTAAAAAATAATCATTAGTCAGGCAGCTTCTTTACCCCAAAGAGTCAAGCATTAAGTAGTAACAGCTAAGTGTATGTAACTTTTTAGGGTCCCACTCTATTTCCTCACTGCTCCTTGAAAAACTCTTGAACTAAGCCCACAACTTCTAGAAGGTATGTGAAAAATGGAACGTGAACTGACAAAATATAATGTAAAATCACAATGAGAAAGATAAGGCCCTAAACAGAGACATAACAATATTCAGACTCAAATGCAACTGCCTGCAACTGCTGAAGTTACCAGCTCCTCTAATAATAAATCCATTTCCCTTCTTGCAACAGAAGATATTCCCAGCAGGATGAGGTGGTGCATGCCTGTTATCCTAGCACATGGGAGGCTGAGGCAGGAGGATTGCTATGAGTTTGAGGCAACCCTGGCTACATAGTGAGTTCAGGGCCAGCCTGAACTACAAAACAAGACCCTGTCTAAAAAAACAGAAAACAAACAAAGAATTTCCAAGAACAGAGATTATATTTTATTTTCTTTGCTTTTAGATAAAATAAAAACTATAGTCATCTCAAAATACTCCACAGTATGCCAGGGATGGCTTCAGAAAAGACTTAAATATGTCATTAATCAACATGTAAAAGACTAAGCATAATGAATTAGTATCACTTCAACATCAGCAATAGGAAACTAACTTTGAAAGATATTCCAGTCAGACTAAGGAGAATGTTCCCCTAGGCGAATTCATACAACAGCAAAAGAGCAGTTTTCTCAGCCAATTATGAAAGCCACGTTCAAGGACAGATACAGACAACATTATAACCAAAATGAGTGGGTATTTTCCCTACTTCAGAGAAAGCTAAAGAGGAGGGCTCACCTAAGAATATGTACAAGAGAGCCAGGCAGCTCAGGGACACTGCCACACCCAGGCTCAGCCCCAGTGTGAAAGTGAACAGCAAGCCGATCGCACCACAGAGCAGCAGCGTTAGAAACACAATCAGCCAGGAGAACTGGAACAGGGGCTCGATCTGCTGCCCTGCGAATGTCTTCATCTCATCTGCAAGAGATGCAGGCGGAAAGTCACCCTTTTCCATTTGAAAGACACAGCTTTTCACTGGACATGCAGTCTTCACGTTTCCAACCTGAACTTCTATTGGGCACTGGCTAAATGCTGAGAGAGAATACTGCTACACAACCCTCCACTCCTCCTGCTGCTGTCCAACCACGGCAGGCTGCACAACACCACAGGGCAGACTGCTGACCTTGCCATTCTGTGGTCGCATAAGCGACAACTTATTGTTTCCATAAGCAAAACCCAAAATATCCTATGTCTTCGAAGCACATATCTTCCCCAGGCCTCTCTGATCCACCCGACAGATGACAGCCTCTCCCTACAATGTGTCCCAGAACCAGGATTCTCAGCTGGGCATGGTGGTGCACACCTGTAATTCCAGCACCCTGGGAGGCTGAGGCAGGAGGGCTGCAAGTTCAAACCTGCCCAGACAATTTAGCAAGACCCTGTCTCAAAATAAAAAATAAAAAAGGAATGGGGCTGGAACAGTGTTCCATCCTCAGTATCACACACACACAAAAAGAATCACAGTTCTCAAAGAATAAGCCAAAATAAGCCTGATACAAGTCAAGGCAATTTCTGTCCAAAATACTGAAACCCGTCCATGAAGAATGAACACGGCTTTGCCAGGCACAAGGTGTGTGTGCTGAGGGTACGGGAGCTGCACAAGAAACTCAGAGAGGAGCAACCCAAGAGCAGCATCTGCTCTACGGGCCCAAAGGCTCATGGTCTCGACTCAGCACAGTGTGCTCCAGAGGCAGGGCAGGCGCAGCCATGCAGCCCCACAAGTGTGGGGGCCCAGGAGACCCCCCAAAGCCTCATGGAGTCACAGGTGGGGCTTTGCAGGGGTGGCTAGATCTGGAGTGTCCGGTGCTGGGATGAGGCTGTGTGACTGGTTTGGCACAGCTCTGGGTAGGATTAGGGATGTCCACCCGGGGTGTGAATGGTACCCACCCTAAGGGTGTCCTGGACAAAATACAAGGGACAGGAAGAGGGCCAGCATGGTCACTTGTCCACTTGCTGCTGTCGCTTGCTGCCTTCTGCCTCCTCCCTGCCTCACCACCCTGCCTTGGAGCCAGCTGACAAGGGGCTGAAACCTCCACAAACTGTGAGCTAAATAAACTTCTCCTCCTCTGCCTCTGGGGGTCGGGTATTTTGTCTTGGCAACAAGAAAAGTCACCAAGACAGGCAGCCAAGGCTTTCCCTGCTGTCTCACACAGCCAGTCCTGTTGTGGAAAGAAAACTCAAATGGCCACGGAGAGGCCTGAGGAGAGGGGAGGAAACCCCACACACCATTGCACACTCCTGCCACACAAACCCAGACACAGAGCTGCAGCTTCCCTTCCTCTAGCGCGGACCTTGCTGCACACAGGCGTCATACACACGTCCTTTACCTTCCAGCTTCTTGAGCAAGAAGGACTTCCCACTGCCCCACTGTGCATACAGCCCCACACAGATGGGGGGCTGCATGGTCGGCTCGCTGAGAATGTCGGCCAGCGCGCTGCTGTACAGGTCGTAGCCAAGCATGTCGCCGTCTGTTTCCGTAGGGGACAGGTGTCCTAGAATCGAAACATACCACATCTCACTTTCCACAGTGGCCCTGCTGTTACAAAGGACCCCAATTCTCCTTTTCACTTATTAGTGGACAAGAGCTTACTTAAAACGTTCAGACCTGTACAAAAACAGGTTCGGAGGTTCCTAAACACCACACACTTCATAGAACTTTAGACAACTCCTGATTGTAAGCTGGATCCGCTTTCTGCACAACTATGAAGAACAATGCTGAAAAAATGCCACACACACTCTCTTGTCCATCACGTGTAAGACACCCTCCAATCGCAGGCATTAACACCAAGCAGTTCAGAATCACTGAAATATGACAATAAAGACATTAACTAGTCCACAGGGGAAAGTTAGCGTGTGTTATATCTACCCCTATAAAGAAAGTTATAGTGTTCCTGAAGAATACAACAGATAATCGGAGAAAAGTAAATATCCCTGGCAGAAAGGGTCAATTCATTAAAGACACCAATTCTCCCCAAACTAATCTATCACTTTAAGGCAATTCCAATCAAAGTCTATGAGGATTTTCTTTAAATTGAAAAGCAAGAAGAACATGTTAGAATAGCTAAGAGAGAAAATGTAAAGCCTACTGAGGGCTAACAGTCATTGCAGAAAGGATAAAAGTGACATGCAACTGCGATGACTGGTGCAGTGCAGGAGCCTAAGAAACACTCCACGCCAGTTAGGGACGGGTAAGCTAGCAAGTGGCGTTCACAGAGCTCAGCAGTCCGTCTGCATTACGCCTCATAGTCAACAAAATCAGTGCTTCTGAAACATTAAAAAACTACACATAAATAGTAAAACCATAAAATTCTAGAAGAAAATATAGCTGAAACTTAAAGTACAAAAATATCTTTTCAATGGAAAATTTTCTAAACTGACATAAACAAGAATAAGCTGGGAAACATAGGCAACATTCAGACTGCATCTAAGATCAAAATCTATGATACGTAGAAACACTTAAAATCAACTTTTAAAAAATATTAGAAACTCAAGAAAAGTACAGGCAAATGATACAAAAAGAAAAATGGCAAAACTATAAACAGTTAATGAATATATTAAAAGCTCTCGATCTAATCATTTTAAAGCAAATTAAAATTAGTTTTTCTTATTAATCTAGCCAAGATTAAGGGGCTGGAAATAGTGTTAGTGAGGTAGGAAAGTGCACTGTCCTATACCTCCCGAGAGAGGAAGAAAAACTTCGACAATCAACTGGAAAGTTGAACCAAACTGTGGGCATCCACCGAACTGGCAGTTCTACTTCTGGAAATTTATCTCAAGAAGATAACCCTAAAAAGCAGAGCCAACAGGCATACACAGGAGCTGCTCCCTGCAGCACCATTAACAGCAAAACAAAACATATTTCATCAACAGATGAGCAGGTGCATTATCAGAACCCACAATGAAAGGGATGTAATAAGTAAAACATTATGTGGCTCATTATTAAACATCTTTATAACATGTTATCATCTGACTTTTCTTTTTTAAAGCTATCTACACAATATAAACCATTTTTATACATGTACAGAAAAGCCTGGAAAGACATTATTCAAATAATGCCAAGTTAGGAGATAGGAAACAATGGGGAATTTGCATCTTCTGCTAAATTCATGTCTTCATTCTTGAGATTCAATGAGTGTACTTTGCTACAATTAGAAAATATCCTAAAAAACAAGAACTTGTAATACAATAGAGTCCTTATGAGTAAGAAGCCAAAGGAACCAACAGAATTCTGCATCTCTTGGTCTCTGGAACAAATTTTTTCTTTTAATTCTAGGAGAAAATTACTCCGTATTTCAAAACATCATGTATGCGTGATCATGTTCACACATGCATTCTTTTCAATCAAAAGTACTTTAGTACTTTTTATTACTACTTTAGCAATATTCTTGAGGCTTAATGTTGCAGAAGACACAGAGAGAAGCAGAAACAGCTTCTGCCCTGAAGAATGAGAAACATGGAAGGGAGAAAACTCTCAAAGGAGTAGAATAAAAGCCGCAGACAGGAAGTATAAAGGGAATAAGAACATGAGTAGGTAAACAGTCACACCAGCTGGGCGAGGTCGTGGACACAGGCAGAGCCAGCAGGGACAGACTGGTAGGGGAGGAGGCTAGGAGGTATGGTGCCCTCCCAGGGACAGAGCCCAGCTCCAGCGGGTCAGCCAGCCAGGCCAGGCAGCATGGGCACAGGGCTGAACCTCAGATAAAAGACGTTGAGGGGAAAGGCACGAAGTAACCTGTGGAACAAGGCGGAAACAGCCTTGGAGAAAGGCAGGCGGATTTTTAGAGGCCTTAAAAGCTGACTGATGACTCGATGTACCTACAATACGATGCAAAAGACATGGAGGACTGTTTTTCCACAGTGAGGTAGTAACTTTCTTAACTTTCATATTCTCCAGATAGATGACAATTGTGAAGTTAGCGTCTTATTTTTTACATTTTTAACTGAACAATCGGTATTTCAAAGCTCAAAGGACAAAACCGAACACCTACGGGCTCCAAATATCTGTGTTAAGATGCTCTTCTGATGGCTGCAGTCGATGTTGTAAGGAGTCTCGCCAGCTTTGTTGGGCCTGTAAAGCAACCGCCCATCTTTGGGGTTCCTCAGAAGAAGTTCTGCCAATTTCCGGCTCCTCCCTCGAATAGCAATGTGCAAAGGAGTATCTCCTTTCTGTAAAATAATAGCAGGAAACCAGCAGAGTAACAACTTGCACGCATCTCAGAATAGCAGAAATCTGAGCTTTTCATATTTGTCATGCATGTGCTAACACGATAGCAAACTTTATCTACCTTCCCCACAATTTCTTCCTCTAGTGCCTCACCAGCTTTTCTCAGAACCCCATCTCCCCCAGCTCCCTAAATGAAGGTGGTCCGTCCCCCTAGCTCACCGAAAGGAGTGACAGGCTTTCTCTGCACCCTCCAGGCCAGGACCGAAGTCCCAGGTACCAAGGGTGTCCACCCACCTTTGCAACTCGCCCCGCCTACTCTACTCACAGCCTTCTCCAGCCGCATCACGCGATGATTCCCACTCAGCGCCCAGGACTTTGTGGACTGTCACTTTCCCCAAGGTCAGTCCAATGTCTGTCCTTAGACTCTCTGGTCACATTAGTGTCCATGTCCAGCACCAAGAAAAACTGACACTGGAGACAGACCCCTCTGTACGCAGGGAGGCATCCCACTTATTACTTCTCTGGGAGACGACCAGCGACCCCAAACCCAACGAGGTAAGTTCCCGGGCCTTGTCCGCCTTGGCCACCCTGTGACACGATGTAAGAATGACCTTCAGGGCTTCTTCTCATCTGGCCTTTTCCTCTGCACTCTCAGGCTCCTGCCTCTCTAGACCCCTCTAGACCCCAGTCCTGTGTTCCTATCACTCCAGCACTTAGGGGGACACAAAGCTGGAGGACAAAGGTCTTGACCTTAAAGCTGACACCATAAAAGGAAGAAACCAGACAGCAAGCACAATGACACAAACTGCACTGTGAGGCACACACAGAAGAGGGGACGCTGGCCTCGGCTTCCACCTGTCCTCATGCTGACGACCTCCGCCACCACGTGTCCAGCCAGGACTCCCTGCCCATGCTCAACCCACACCTCCTGGCACCGTGTCACAGCCTCCTGGACCTCAGTGCCCCTCCACTAAACCCCAGTACCAAATTTCAGATTTCACTCTCTTCATTTCCCACTCCAACCCCTTCCCACCCCAAACCTGCAAGAGTGAAAACAGCAGCAGCAGCATTTCTGCCAGACGCAGAATCTGCAAACAGGATGAGGCAGACATCAGGACACCTGCTGATGCACTGCAAGTAAACGGTGACAGGCGACAAGAAACCATCACCTTTACTTGTAAATTTATTCTTACAAAGTTCTCTGGGTTCTTAATTTTTAACACTAAATATTCCTTTCTTTCACATGAAAATATAGCAATTCAGAAATAGTTAATGGGTTTTTTTGTGGGTTTTTTTTGCTGTTTCCTTTTTTAAAATAGCATTACTTGGTAAGACAAAAAGCTAACACACTGATTCTGTGGTCTTGATTTCGTAGCCCCATGAAGAACAGAAGGATAAATGCTAATCTTGATAAACCAGGAAAGCCCAAGTCAGACATGCACGGGGAGACTTAAAGATATTTCTTACCCTCTACACCAGTCTTTTCTGGACCATAATCAATTTGAAGTAGAGAGAGATCTAAGTCTGTTTAGACAGAACAGACTAAAGCCAGGAATCAATTCTATACAAGCAGCGAGCAATTGGAGCATTTTATCAGGAAATTTGAGAAATCTCCCTCATGGCTATGGCCCCACCAGTGAGCTCTGCCGTGCGTCCACTCTGAGGCAGCCGCCCAGCCCCTCTGAACTTGCTCCTGGGCATCAGCAACAACCTCCACCCGAGGGATGCTCCTCGGGGTACCTCACAGCCACTATGAGCCACCTCAGGGACTCGAAGCAGTGGAGCTGCCCCTCCGCATTCTGCCAGCGTGCCGTAGGAACAGCTTCACCCCATGCACCCAGCAGGGACTCTCTCCCTGCACACAACCAGACTAGAGCCCCAGGCCCGAGGCTCGGCTGGCTCAGCAGCAGCCTCCGTTACCTTGTCCACGGCAGACACCTTGGCTCCTTTATCCAGGAGGAGCTCGACAACTTCAATGTTCCTCATCTTGGTGGCCTTTATCAGTGGGGTTTCACCATCCTGTGCCACACAAAAGCACACATGGAGAAATAGTCCGGGAACTGTCTCGTTTAAAATGTTCTCAAGAAAGCAGAGTTTACAGACTAACAAGGACATATTCCTCCTTCACAAGCACCTGACTGTGTGGAGTGATGCTGGCCCCCAGCGGGGTGCAGGATGCCCCTCCTCCCTGCCCCACCGAGCCCAGCGGGTGCTGTTCTCAGGGACCCCGCGAGCAGCACAGGAGCTGCTCTGCACAACAGGAGGCCTGCGGCGAACCTCACCAGGTCAGTGGCCGCCTGCAAACTGGGGAGGTGAGATTAAGAGGCCACAGCCCTGACCTTCCTGAGTCAGGGAGGACAAAACCCTGGCCAGCAGCCACCAAAGTCACAGTGGCTGACACGGGCCAGAAAAAAAAGAAAAACAAGATGGTCAGGCGCCACCTGGAAGCCAGCAGGTGTCCCAGGAGCCTTCTGCCCTGGGGTACTGGAGCAACCACCTTGGGGCGGGGGGCACAACAATGACAATGTGTCAGGTCCCCCCAGAACGCCATCATTCTGTGCCGCAAAGATGTGCTAATAAAAACAGGATGGTCTCATGGACGACTCCATATTTTGCTTTAAGAATTGCTGCCATTTCAGTCCAAATACGTTTTCCAAGGGAAACTGCTACACATAAGGCTCAATACAATCCCCAGGTCCTCAAGGGTTCTGCATTCTCCACATGATGGGAGGAAAACAGGCTACACCAGGTAGTATGTGGAACCAACAGCCATTTGCAATGGTCTTTTCAAAGAAAATGTGCTCTGCACACCAAATGGGAGCATAGAAGAATCTGGGGGAAAGGATCTGCCCATGACTTTGTTTCTAATACCAGGGGATGAACCCAGGGAGCCCTGAGCTCCCTCCCCAGTGCTTTTAAAAATATACATATTTATCTCTTTTTAAATTTTGAGGAAGGGTCTCACTAAACTGCCTAGGCTGTCTTCGAACTTGCAGTACCCCTGCTCTGGCCTCTGAAGCTCCTATGGTTACAAGTGTGAAGCCAAACCCAGCCTTTCCATGATTTATGAATAGCTAATAGTGTGTTTTCTGCACAGTACTTAATTAACAAACTTACACTGTTGCTACGAATATACAGCTCCTGAAAGGACAGAAAGTCACTCCTCAATCCAACACAAAGCATTACCAGCAAATTTGTTTTGACTAGAACCAAACGGGGGACGGAGGACAGCAGGCAGTGCGGCTGCTCAGCCCTGGCTGGCCCTGACTACTACCAGGACAGAAACAAAGCTGTACCTTCGTGCAGATCTCCGTGTCCGGATTGCACTGTAAGATATCTCTCACCATGGTCGCATTTCCCTTTTCCACAGCCCAGTACAAAGCAGTTTTATTGTCCTATATGATGAAAAAAAAGACAACCGATCATCGCTTCATGTAGAACACAAGGTTAAAAACTGTTGTCAATGGAAGGCATCATTAATATTTCTGCCAGAAATCATTCCACCAGGCAGCATGGTGGGAAATAATGTCAATCTTCATGCCACTTAGAATTTATTTTTGAGAAATTTCTCTTGAAAAAAGCCTAGGAAAACCTAACATGACTTGACTTTAAGGAGAAATCCCACAGAGTCAATAAAGTAAACCACACTTTTGTAAGGAGTTGGATTTCAGGAACGTGCTCTGGGTTAAAGTAGCCTTGGATGCATCATTCTGGCTTTTGGATCCACAGACTTTTGTCTGTAATGTGGAAAAAGGGTACCTGCCGAGTTGTTTCTGAAGATAATGTATGAGAGCATACTTTACAGACACGAAGTTAGGTATCACGGTTTTTAGCTCACTCTCCACCCATCCGCACCCACACTGGCCGAGTCAGACAGATTCAAAACCACATCGACCACACAGATCTGGAAAGCAGAGCTAGAGCATAGCAAAGAAAAACTGAGGGGAGCAGGAAAACAGGAGCAACAGACACAGAGTAGCTGGATGAAAGTCTAAAGCAGGTGATCTAGAAGCCATCTTTAGCCAAAATACAGCTTTAACCCCAAAGGTAATGATTTCCTGGACCACAACTTCCCTCAGTGGGTCCCACTCTAAGCATGGGCACTGCCCAGCTTTCCGGCATGGACTCCACTTCCCTCTGCATTTCCCTCTCTCCTCCTCCTCCCTCTGCTCCCGTGCTCTCCCACTGTTACACCGCCACACCAGCCTTCCTTTCCTCCAGCTGTCTTCACACTGAGCTCCGGCTCTCCCTTCTCTGGAAGGCCTTCCTCTTTAATGCTCTCTTCCCACCTTGAGACTCACATGGGGAAACCTTTCAGCAGGCCATCAACCAATCCTGTATCACCCCGTGGTTTCACTTTTTATGTTTACATAAAAGTATAAAAATAAATATAACTACAAACATCTAAATTAAAACACATTTCTTAAAAGGGTGCCATGTTAATTCTCCATAGCATTAGGCACAATTTTTATTAATTTGATTCAAAAATGACTTTGAATACAGCAGATTTTTGACTAAATGTAAGAAAAAAACAGCATAAGGTAGACTGACCAAAATGTACTACCAAGAACAAATTTTTTTATCTAAACCTCTTGAAGTATTAAACAGATTCACAACTTCTGCTTTTATCTTGTCTAGACTTTCTGGAGGCCTAGGGACTGAACTGTACCGAGCACTCTACTGCTGTGCTAAGCCTCCAGCCCCTACCTAAGGTTAAACCCTTGCAGCTCTGTGAGCCACCTGAAGCAAGGTCCACAGGCGCCACCCCAAGTGGCTCCAGGAGAGGCTGGCAGAATGAGGAGAGGAGAGGAAACAAGAGGGAAAGAACCCCATGTGGAGGAAGAATACCAATAGGAAAAACACTAAAGAAAGAAAGTACTGTGTCTTCAATTGCCACCAAGAATCTCAGCAGCACAACTACGCATCCCAAGACAGAATGTTAGAAAGGAGGTATATTCTAAAAGCACCCACTGCTTGGTTTACTTCCATCTGAACTGAATTCGACGTTAACACAGATACTTCATACAATGGCAGTGAAACATAGGAATAATGACACTGCATCAATTCACGTGATAGGGTTCCCGACTCCTGCCCACAGGGAAGCTGGGTTGCGACCCTGGTCTGTCAGCACACGCCATGCTCACAACTGCGTCCGCACATACCTGGCCTCTGATGTCGATATCAGCATACTTCTGGAGAAGTGCGCGAACGATTTCCACATGACCACCTCTGACGGCTCCAATCAACACAGTGTCGCCGCTCTGAAAAGACGACAGCCACGGTCAGGTGACGCTGAGAGCAAGTGAGCACTGTTTCCAAGTCCAGGTTACTTGTGTATTCACAGCAGATGTGTTCTGAATATTTTTGGAAAAAGAGTCTCTGTCTCCAAATAAGAGAAATGTTTAAATTAACTAATAATAATACCTTATTATTAGGATACTGATAGTCCTCAGAGTAAGGGACAAAGGACATAATGCCTCAAATCCAGGAGTCCAGAAGTTTTAGGAGAAAATTCAGAAAGAGAAAGTGGCCAGGACAAAGAACCCACGAGCTCCTAAGGCAATCTCCTGTTCAAATGTAAATTAAACAAATGACACTGCAGCTGTCAACCAGCCCAGTGAGCCCCGGGAGATGACACAGAGGTGTCGCGTTCACACCACCGCAGCTCCCAGGCTGCATAACTTGGAAGCCTGGTCCAGGCCAGCATTCTCAGGCATCCAGCCCTGGACAGCACGGCCCGCAGTGCAGACCATGGCTCCACTGTCACAGTCCCGTAATGCTCCCTGCAGCACAGCAATGCTCACTCCTCACCCCTCTTCCACTACGTCCTGTGTTAGTTTGCCAGTGGGCACAGATATCTTATAAGCCACTGCTTACAAGCCACATCAGAGGCTTTGGCTGGGTGAGCGCACAGCCTGGGTGCCATTCGGTTCTGCATGGGCCCCACTCCACCTAGGTCAGGATGGCTGTCCCTGAGGCAAGCTCAGTCTGTCCGTTACCAAGGACGGGATGCCCATCGCTGTTACCAAGCTCAGTGCCTGACTGCTGCACTCACAGCAGCAACAAAGCCAGGCAGAGCAACTAAGGCCGAGTGTCAGCATGGGCAAGAGCAGGTACAAAGATTTCCCTGCACACGATGTGGGGTGCACCATCCCAGGCACTGGGAAACGAAACAGGCAGGGTCCTAGCTCCGGGTGAATTTACAGGGTGGCAGAGAAAAAAAAAATACAACAAACTCAAATCGAACAAATGCTGTGCAAAAAGAACAGGGTAGGGCCAGGGATTTAGCCCAGTGGTTTCGCTGCCTGCTGCACAAGTGCAAGGACAAGGACCCGAGTTCGATCCCCAGTACCAAAAAAAAAAGAACAGGGTGTAGCGACAGAAAGCAACTAGCAGCTGAAGAAGGCCATTGGGAGAGGGCAGGCAGGAGCTGAGGCTCAGTGACAGTGAGGAGGCACCACCAAGCCAGGGAGCACAAAGGGCTCTGCAGGTGAGAGCAGTGCTCCAGGAAGGCAAAGGAAGCCAGACAGGGAGTGTGGTGCACACACTTCTGCAGGCAGTGGAGCAGGGAACCTGCGGACCAAGAGGGAAACCTGCATCCCAGGGCCAGGGGGAGTCATGCACAGCTTCCCACACAGGAGCACAGGTGAGAGAATCTGGGAGCAGAGCGGGGAGAAAGAGAGACAACAGGAGAACTCGCCCATGGTGTGGGGAGAGAATATGGCTACCCGCAGAACCTGTAAGGGGGCACCTTCAATCCCAGCTCCCTCGGAGGTGGGGAGGGATTCCCAAGCTAGAGGCCGCCTAAGCAACGTAGTGAGACACTGTCTCAAAATAAAAGCCAAACAGAGGGCTACAGATGTGGCTCGGTGCTCCCCAGTCCAAGCGGAAGTGGGGGCACATCTGTCTCACTTTGCCTGACAGACAGACCTTCAAGTGGGGACTGCAGATGGAGGTGAACATCGAAGTGAGCTCAGAGAGGACACTGGGCAAGAGAAAGGGCCCTGAACGTCTCGGGAATCCAAAGTATCGACACCCAGCACAATAAGCAACACCGGCTGGGAAAGACACCCAAGGGATTCACTACATGGACAGGCAGACGTGAGGCACAGGTGACATTCCCATAGCAAAATACAGAAGGACGCTCTGCCGAAAGACTGGATGGCTTGAACAAGGTGGTTCTAAAGGCAGCAGTGCTCAGGTGAAGCCTTGTTCACACTGTACATGAAGGCTCGTGCAGAAGGAGCAGCTGAGCCAGGCCCGGCCACCTACCCTGTCAGGGATGTTCACGTACGTCCCCGCGTCCAGCAGGTCCTGCACGATCTCTGTGTGGCCCTCCTTCGAGGCAATCATCAAGGCTGTGTTCCCATCCTTGTCGGTTAGGTTCACGTTTGGATTCCGCTTGAGAATCTCCTTGACTGACTGTGTGTAGCCTCCCTTCACTGCCACGATGAGTGCAGTCATTGAATTCTAAAAAAAATATAGCCCAAGAAACTAGTATAGTCTAGAAAACATGACTTATGCCAGAAAACTGATGCTTTCCAATAGGTAGTTTATATTTAAGTTATTTCTGATAGAAAAATGACGGATAATCAGACACATACCAGACGTGGCCAGGAGGCATTATTTGCAGTTTCTGAAGATACACTGATTCTCTTGAGTCCTCAGGACTATTAGGAACTTTAGTTCTTTAAATGACAATCTGAAGCTGGACTCATTAAAATGAACAGATCTCACTAAGACTCAAAATTAAACACACCCTAAACTAAATAACGCAGCCAGGCTTGGTGGCTCAAGCCTGAAATCCTAAACACTTGGGAGGCTGAGGCAGAAGGATCACCTTGAGTTTGAGGCCAACCTGGGCTACACAATGAGTTCAAGGCCAGGGTGAACTAATATAGCAAGATCATGTCTTAAAAAACCAAAATGATAACACAGTAATAACATTGATCCATAGAAAAGTAAGTCAAACTTCAAACCAAGAATTCTTTATAAGGAGACCTATAAGGAAAAACTGAAGTAAAATAATGAATTAACAGCTACAGCACATTTCAAGAAAGGTGTAATACATGCTCTGTCTTTCAAATTGACCTAAAAGTCATAATTTCAAATACTGCCTTATTGTAAGGAGTTCTTTGAACACTGCATGTCTAGGCAGGCCATAACCCCTCACAGATGAAAATCCGTCCCTTCTCATATCCTACAGGACCAGCTGCCCAGAGACAGCCGCACAGGCGTATGACGAACTTGCAGGAGGGGGCACGGCTGCCTCCAAGGACTGCTGTCCCCAAGCCGTGCCTGGACCCCTGGTCCCTGTGTCTGTCGATAGGGAGCTCAGGAAGCAGTGGTTGAAGCTGCTGCACAGACAAGAACCGCGTGGAGGTGGCTCTGGGCTCATGCAGCCTGTGATCCATCTCACACAGTAATCACCTACAGAATCTGTATTATTTCTGCACAGAGATGTTGGCTCCTCTATTTTTCTTTCTTTCTTATTTTTTTTTTCGGTACAGGGGATCGAACTCGGGACCTTGCACTTGCAAGGCAGGTGGCGGAACCACTGAGCTAAATCCCCAGCCCTATTTTTCTTTCTTTTGTGGCACTGTGAATTGAACCCTCGTGCCTTGCATGAGCTACACCCTCTCATCCTTTCTTCTTCTTTCTCTTTTCATTTCTTATTTTTTGGGAAGAGGGGGCTGAGTCTTGTTAGGTTACCCAGGCTGGCCTCAAATTTGCAGTCTTCCTGCCTTAGCCTACCAAATAGCTGGGATTAGAGGTGTGTGCCACCATGCCTGGCAGTTCCTGCATTTTTAAAATTTCTGGTGGTACTAAGGATTGAATGTAGGGCCTTTGCACTAAGCTACACCCCTGCCCTTTTTTATTTGTCATTTTGAGACAAGATCTCCTTATGGTGCCCAGGCTGGCTTTGAACTTGCTATCCCACGCCCAGCAGTTCCTGCATATTCATATGAGCTCAAGGGAAAACAACCTGCCGGGCCTGTGTCCCCAGCTGTCTTAGGCAGACTGGGTACACACTGCTGGTGTTCAGTGCAGTACTGGGAACTGGTAGTCAGCAAGATGTATTCAACCAATTTTGAAGCTTTCTCAGTTCTAAAAATTTCTGATATTTTTAAATCTGTTTATTAGAGAAGGAAAATGAGACATAAAATGTGGTATAGAAACATCCAAAAATTACAACATTAAGTTATTTATTTATTTTTTTGGTACTGGCGGATCAAACTTGGGACCTTGTGCTTGTGAGGCAGGCAGCAGAACCACTGAGCTAAATCCCCAGCCCTCATCATTAAGTTTTTAAGAGAAAAGTATTTTAATAGAACATAAAAACTTTTTTCCACAATTAAGATTTAAAACTATTTGACCTGAAAAGCTTTCCAAACAACTTATATTAGGATTTTTTTCCCTTATATTAGGATTAATGAAAATAATCTATATTTTTAGCCTCCTAAAATTTACTTTTATTAGTACTAGATCCTTAAAAGCATATGTTTATTGCGTTTTTCACAATATAATACACCTAGGATAATAGAACATGCTTGTTTTTCTAACTTAATATCATTTAAAAACTGGATAGAAATTTTTCTAGGCATATACTAAAGTTAAAATATTGTCTCTTAAAACCAAAGACATCCTCTACCACCAGGGCTTAGGGCAGTGATGGTGAGCCTTTTAGATCTTTCAGCGACAAGAGTGGCTGTGGCACGCGAGCCACATGTCGGTCAACCCAGCTTAGGGCACAACAGGTACTTACAGCTCCTTCTTGGTCAACATCGGCTCCCATGGCCAGCAAATGCTTCACGCACTCCAAATGGCCCTTCCGTGCAGCCCAAACCAAAGGAGTGGTTCCGTACTAGCCAAGCAAAAAATGCATTTCAAATTATCGTCAGAGGCATAAAAAGAAACTAGCTCACATCAATTTTGATACATTCATATTTTGAGTATTTTTAGATAAATGTTTACATCGACTACAGTTTTCACACTAGATAATCCTATTTCCCTCATTTTTTCTGCTGAACGGATGGTTAACCACTCAAGTACTCTGTTACACTGTTAGCATCAGTGGCCATTTGTGTGTCATAAAGTCACATAGCCCCACATTTTCAACAAGCTTTCACCAACTGCTTTCCATACTTGAGTTTTGTTTGTTTTTGTAGCCCTAGGGATTAAACCCTGGGCCTTTGCACTGGTCTACATCCTTTGCCCATTTTTAAAGTTTATTTTGAGACAGGGTCTCACTAAATTAGTAAACTGCCCAGACTGTGCTGAAACTTGCAATCCTCCTGCCTCAGCTTCCCAGCATGCTGGGATGACAGGCATGTGCCTGTTTCGTTACAGTTATTAACCTGAAGGTGGCTAATGGAAATAACAGGAATACAAAATGATCGGGAAAACAAAAAGATGTCACTCTCTGCAGGAAACAGATACCGCACGGTAAGCCAGACTACTACGAGGCACTGAATCCTACACTCTCTGATATGAGGGAAGGGGGCCCTGAGTGCCCACGTTGCCGGGCAGCAACGCTCAGATAAGTCTGAAGATAGCAGGAGTTCATCAAGCAAGGACAGAGCAACACAGGGCGTGTCAGAGCCCTGTGGGGTCCACAGCACCTCAGGCCAATGGCTCTAGGAAACTCATAGCAGCCTGGGACAGTCTTTGGGATCCTAAACCCAAAAGGGAGAGACAGCCAAACCTGCACTCTCAGAAGGTCCTCACAGCAATCCAGAGGAAGCAGACAGGACAAATGGCAGGAAGGAGAGCTACGACAGAAGACTTCACTGGATGAAGCCAGGAAGCCCTTGGCCCAGGACTGTCCTCTCAGGAATCGTGACTGTGACATAATAAATGCCACAGAGCCACACAAGGCTCCATCTATGACACTGACATCTGTACACATTGTATTAACATGCAAACACAGTGCTATAATATAATCCCAGCACTCAGGAGGCTGAGACAAGAGGATCGCTGAAACAAGGTCACACTAAATAGCATAGGGAGACCCTGTCTCAAAAAACACATACACAAAAACAAACATGTCACATTAGAGCAGCTTCCCAGGACAATATTTATTACATGAGCCCCCAGGTGGACCTCAGGCAGCCTCTGCCGACCTACCTTATCTGAGCAGTTGACCTTGGCACCATTTTGCAGCAGGAGATACACGATATCTGCATGGCCTCTCCCGGCTGCCCAGATGATCGGGTAAACGCTGTACTGCTGGGATGGAGAGGGGAGGGAGAGAGGGAGAACGGGAGGGCGGACGGACAGGGGGGACACCAGGAGGAAAAAAACTTTTGAGGTGGATGTTTGCAACACGTATTTGCTACATCAAGTTCAACAGGTGTAAGAAAAATGGTATTCTTTTAAAAATCAAGTTACCACACTTTCTCCAATTTAAAAACATACAATTAACAACTAAGATACACTCAAACTTAGATAAACATATGCTGTAAACACACTCATTTCCATAGCGTTAACACAGCCAATATGATGATTCAGCCGAAGGCAAGACCAATAAGAGGAATGCAAAGCAAAAGCAGCATGGATGCATACAACAGACAAATGGCATGGTGACTTTGACTCGGTAAATGTCTCTTTCCTGGATGCTCAGCCCTGAAAACTGGCAAGACAGCTAAGGATTTCAAAATCTCCTTTGGAAATGTGCAATTATAATGAACACTTGAGCTCTAAGAGTTGCCTTTTGGGTGACAAAAATTAAGAAATAAAGACAACTTACAAAATTCTCATCGTGTTCTGGAATCATGTTCTACCTTGTATTTAGTATGATCTAGAAAAGTCCTATCTACTTTGAAGTATGAACAGCCTAAAGCAATAGTGGTGAACCTACGGCACATGTGTTACTGTGTTTTTCTTTTTTTTCCTTTTTTTTGGTACCGAGGATCAAACTCAGGTCCTTGCGCTTTTGAGGCAGGCGGCAGAACCACCAAGCTAAATCCCAGGCCTGCTGTGTTTTTCTTTTAAGACAAAAGACGTTAATGTATGAGTTGGTTTTTTTAATGAAAACCTCAGTATTCTGGTTTAAGTGCAGTGTTGGCTCTCTGCAATAAATGAGTGGGTTTTGGGTTGCAATTTGGGGATTGGGCTCTAAAAGGTTCACATCACTGGCCTAAACCATTCCCTAAGAAAACAGCATCTGAATCACAAAAGGGTGTCTCTTTAATGCTTACCAGACCAGTGACGCTGGGGTTGGCCCCATGAGAGAGCAGGAGCTCTACCACGTTGGTGCGGCCCTTGTAGCAGGCCCACATGAGCGCAGTCCACCCGCCCTAGTGGAAAAAAACAGGGCAAGTTGGATCATTGCCACACACAAAAATGCCACAAATCAAGTTCCTTCTGCATCTATCTTTATAAAACCATTGTTTCCTGAAGATGACACGTTTTACACTCCCCAAATCTCCAGAGAAATATACAATAAAACATAAAATCAATCAAATCTCTTATACTCACAAATGATTACCCTTTGTACAATATTACAGAAACTGAAACACAGGGCTGGGGATTTAGCTCAGTGGCACTGCACCTGCCTCGAAAACACTAGGTCCTGAGTTCGATCCCCAGTACCGAAGCAGGAAAAAAAAAAAACCCCTGAAATACAGAATGTTCATGCTGGACTCTTACAAATTTCTAAGGCTTCTGGCTGTTTAAAACCTTTCCAGGTCCCTAGCTCTCCTCTTCGTTGCATGGTCTAGACTTTATACAGACAGGGATTCCAACCAACACAGTCAACTCTTGAATTTAAATATTTAAGTACATCCTGTATTTAAATACATCCTTCAGGGCCGGGGATTTAGCTCAGTGGTTCCACTGCCTGCCTCGAAAATGCAGGGTCCCGAGTTCAATCTCCAGTACCAAAAAATAAATAAATAAATACATCCTTCAAATACCAGAGCACTAAGGCCATGATCTATGATCCTCCAGGGGTGGGCAAGGTCATCAAGTACAAATTCACTGCCGGACAACATCCATTTCCAGGCTTCAGGAGTAATGCTCTCTTCAGCTATAATGCAATTCAATACAACAGGCCAGTGTAACCAAATCTTATTAAGGACTGAAATGTTCTCTTTGCTTTTTAAAATTAGTATTTGGACCAACCCATGTTTGGTTCTGAGACTATAAATCACTTAATCCTTCTAATCTTATTTCAACATCATTTATAAAAAGGATAAAAAGCATTTATCCTAATTTGGAAAAGTCAGAACTACAGAGAAAGAAAACATCACTGGCAGCCAGGGGTTGGCAGAGAGCTGACAGGAGGATCACGAAGGACATCACGAGGGAATACTGAAGTGGTGGAGCTGTGGTAGGGCACACAGCATTGTTTACGGTCACATCAATGATCTCTAGAGCTGTACTATGGGAGAATGCTTCTCAAAATCAACCAGAACGTGGATGGGTGGGTGGATGGCCAGATGGAGAGATGGACAGATGGATAATGGGTGGACAGATGTACAGATGGATGATGGGTGAATGATGGATGTACGGATGAAGAGATCAAAGTTAACATCACCCAGTACACATGCTGGTGTCACATGCCTAGGAGCAGTGCACTGAGAGGGGCACATCCTTCCACAGTGCTCTCAAGAACAAAGCACAATCTCAGCCTATTCATGGGAAACATCAGACAAGTCCAAACAGAGGGACATTCTAAAAATACCAGAGGAGGACTCTTCAAAGTCACAAGGTCGTGAAGAGATTTATTTAGGTCAGTTACAGAGTTGGGCATCTAATCAAGTCAAGGCTTACACTAATATTTTAACCTGTAAAATGTCTGCCCAGAACTTCTCAAACACCATGCCCTCACTTTAATTTGAATAATGTATCCCAAGCAAGTTATGGATGACATAAATTTTTAATCTCAAGAAAACAACACCTAAATACATTAACTTAAGAAGACTGAAAACAATCAACACCTGGGACTTCATCTTATTAAAAAGCTTTTGCGGGCCGGGGATTTAGCTTAGTGGTTCCAGCACCTGTCTCGCAAGCTCAAGGTCCCGAGTTCGATCCCTGGTACCAAAAAGAAAAAGCTTTTGCACACCAAGAGAAACCACCAACAGGGTGAAGAGACAACCCACAGAGTGGGAAAAAATTTTTACCAGCTATCCAGATAAAGGGCTATTATCTAGAATCTATAAAGAACTCAAAAAAATCAGACCTCCCAAATTTAAAGACCCAATGCAAAAATGGGCCTGTGAAATGAACAGACAATTCTCAGATGAAGAAGTAGAAACAGCAAATAAACATATGAAAAAATGTTCAACATCACTGGTCATTCATGAAATGCAAATTAAAACAACGCTGAGATTCCATCTCACTCAAGAAAGAATGGCTGCTATCAAGAAATAGTTTCTCTAGTGTGAGAAAATGAAAGGACTGAAAGGTATAACAGATAATGTGAAATAGTAAGAAAAGGTTCAAAGGGGAAGGGGAAGTGAGAGGGGCAGGGGAAAGGACAGAAGGGAATGGGATTAATACGAGAAAAAGAAAAAATGGAAACAAAGTCTTTGTAGATAGGGAGGGGTGGAGGGGTTGAAGGGAAGGTAGGTGAATGGAGTAAAAATAAGAATCAAGATGGATTGTGTAAAGGTGCAAATTTCCAATGATGAATGTCATTACATTGCATACCTTAAATGTACCAATAAAATTAATTTTAAAAATTTTTAAAAATACTTTTTGGTTTTTGGTATAGGGGATCAAACTTGGGCCTTTGCACTTGCAAGGCAGGCTGCGGAACCACTGAGCTAAATCCCCAGCCCCCCAAAAAAGTACTTTTAAGATAGAGCTTCACTAAGTTGCCAAAAAAAATCAATCAGGGCCAGGGATTTAGCTCAGTGGCACAGCGCCTGCCTGGCAAGCTCGAGGTCCTGAATTCAATCTCTGGTACCCAAAAACAAAAGAAAAGAAATCAACCAATTAACAAATGCTGAAGGGGGTGTGAGGAAAAAGGAACCCTTCTCCACTGTTGGCTGGAGTGTAGACTGGCGCAACCACTGTGGAAATCTGTGGAGATACCTCAAAAAACTACAGCTGGGGCTGGGGATTTAGCTCAGTGGTTCCGCAGCCTGCCTCACAGGCCCAAGCTCCTGAGTTCGATCCCCAGTACCAAAAACCCCCCAAAAAACCTAAAACTAGAGGTTCCATTTGACCCAGCTATCCCTCTTCTTCAAATGTTCCCAAAAGAATTAAAAGCATCATATCACAGTGATATGTGCATATCCATGTTTATAGAGGCACAGTTTGTAATAGCTACATCTTGGAAACAGAACAAATGCCCATCAGCCAACCAATGGATAAAGAAGATGTGGGTTTTTTTATACAATGGAGTACTACTCTGCCATAAAGAAGGATGAGCTTCAGACATTTCTAGCTAAACGGATGCACCTTGAGAACATTCTCCTAAGTGAAATAAATCGGACACACATGTTTAAATAGTGCATTGTTTCTCTGGTGTGAGAAACCAAGTGGACATAAGAACTGAAATGCATAAAGGATGTTGGGAAATGGGAAGAAAGTGTTCAAATGGGAAGGGGAACAAGGGAGGAGGGAGGGAAGGAAGGAAGGGACAAGAAAAAAAGTGAAAATAAAAGGAAAAAATGGAAACAAAGCTTTTGTACATAGGGAGGGGAATGGGATAAAATAAAATTTATTTTTTAAAAAGGCTGAGAATGATTAAATACAGAAACAGCTTTATAATTCATGGACTCCTTCAGACTGGCACCCAATAAACAATCCTCAGCAGATTCCCTGACACTGTAGTCTGGACTTCCTCCTGGATACTCACCCAGCAGTCACTCGCTCTCCCTGTACAAGTTTCAGGAACTCTGTCTTCCCTCAGCCTGCCTGCTGGGCTGGTCCTGTCTGCCAAGTCCTTTGAGGTTAATTAAGTTCTCACCACACTACTACCAGAAGAGGCAAAGCCTTCAGTTTCCTACCAGACTTCTGGTGTTTTAAAGCCAAGCACAAAGATTTTAAATGTTAACAGTTTTATGATCATTATTTTGGGGGAAACAGGGAAAGCCAAAAATTGAAGAAATAATTTTTTACAAATCTTACCAAGGTTTGACAGGTTCATAATACAGACTCTGTAGCTGCTACCTCCCTTGCTGATGTACAAAGAATGATGGAGGAGAAAGCCCTGGGACTAGGCATGCCTGTGTTCAAAACCCACCCCGGGTGGGTCACAGCTATGTGGCTTCAGACATTCACCTCCTCTAGCCTCAACTTCCCCAACTGTACACTGAGCACGAAATCAACCCCTGGTCCATGGGATTGCTCCACGAAGTCAATTAAATGATATGGGGCCATCAAGCACCTATAGATGACCAGGCACACAACTGGTGCCAATATCATTCATTTGACTGACAAACTGCCATGGCGCCTCTACTAAGACATGGAGAACCAGCTGACTCCGTGTGTCCTGTCCACCTGCAGAACCATGGAGGTAAGAAGCCACCTTCTACTCTCAGCTGCCACATCTGTCCCTGGCCTAGGCTACTGCCAGCATTACCTTCCATCTCTAACTTTTATGCAGTAGACCTAAAATTTCTCCTTGGAGACAGGCATACTTGTCACTATGACAAAAGCCCTGAGCACAGCACAATGGGGCCAGCTGACCATGGAGGAGCCACAGCAGAGGAGGGCCATCTACCTCCTGCAGCAAAGAGGCACAGAGGAGGAAGGGGCCAGGTCCCAACCCCCTTCCAGGACACGGCCCACCCTTCAGAGGCTCCACCATCCTCAGCATCGCACCTCCAAACTGTGGCAGTACACTCCTGTACACAGAAGGACCTCACCCACGGCGCTACATTCTGAAACTGCAGGGTTACAGAGGTGACTCTCTCATGGAAATCATAATACACTGTTCAGTACCAGACAGTGGAATGCTGCGAGTCCTCAGGAACTCAGATCCCAATTAGGCACGTTTTATATACTGAGGCAGGTCATCTTCCGTTCTCCTACTGTTAGTTAACTTCTGAAAAGGCAAAACACTGTGCACGAGCCAGAAATGATCTTCTTACCTTTATGCTTTAACCAAATGCCAAAATCAAATAGGAACAAAGTGATTTCATGTCTCATTCAACTTGTCATGCATACAGATGGCAGGCTGGGGTGAAATTACACTTTTTTCTTTTTTTCCAGTACTGGGAATCAAACTCAGGGGCTTGTACTTTCCATACAGGCACTGTGCCACTGAGCTACATCCCCAGCCTTCAGAATTACATTTCATAATGAGGTCTATAAATGTTATTCTGAAAATTACAACAACTGACAAATATATGTTTAAAACTATACGATGTTCCTCTTAAAAGTCCTATCTAAAGGACACAATTTTCTCAGAAGTTCTAAAATACTAATATATTAAAAAATAATGAGTTGCTTTTAACAATATTTCAGAATTGTAAACTGTAAATGATGAGTAGGAACATTTTTTTCTTCTTTCATTAGAGTAGGAACATTTTATTTGTTTGAACTTGGGACCTTATGCTTACAAGGCAGGTGCCGGAACCACTGACCTAAATCCCCAGCCCTTAGAATTTGTTTGTTTGTTTGGGGGTTTTTTTTGGTATAGTAGGAACATTTTAAAAGAAGAACATTACAAGACCTGGGTCATTTTAGTGTTCAACCTCAAATTCTGAAAACACAATGACATCATTTGAAACACAAAAGTAAAAGACTTCAGGGTGTGTTGTTGTTAGAAAGAGCCCAGACAATTCATCCTGAGTTAGAGAGCATGCACCCACCATGTCCCGGTGCTCCAAGTTCACCCCGCATCGGAGGAGCTCATCCACGATGTGCAAGTGCCCTTCTTTCGAGGCAGATATAAGCGCTGTCCAGTTATCCTGAACACAGATGCAAAAATGGTAGGTTTTAAACCAAAACTCACATTCCAAAGTGGGGAAAAATACATCTGAATTACATACCAAATGATCATACTCCAACTGACACAATCTGACCCACTGTACACTTCTGAAACTAACCCGAGAGTTCAGAGCACTTCCCTGTCCGCTGGGGCCACCAGCACCCGCTTCCTCTGTCTGATTGGCGCTCATAACTGCTGCACCCAGGAGGAGAGAGAAAAGGCCACCCAAGCCTCACGGTGAGGCCCGCGGCTGGCGACCTTTATCACACATTTAAGTTAAAGAGCCTAGAACCAGTGACTTCACACAGTGAGTTTAGAAATTAGGTGACAAAGAATTAGTGCCCTTCATATTTTAAATAAAGGATATAAGAATCCTACTTTAGCCTTTATTCACGAGAGCAATTTAATTCAAATGATCATTGAATTTAAAAAAAAAAGGAGCTGTGTACACCTGAAAGCAAGTCCAAGAAAACAGAAAAGCAGAGGAACTGTGGTCTCTTTGAACTGTGATTTATCCTTCAGAAGAGGCATGGGAAGGGACCACAGCCTCCAGAGCGTGATGCTCGAACTTCCTGGCTACAGTAAGTCATTGGGGAGTCCCCAGCACATCAGCCGAAGCCCAAGAGCTCCCTGCTCAGTCAGCAACTGAGGAGCAGATGAGGCTGCCCTTCCCCGGAAGCATACGAGCTCTGCCAAACTGCCCTCAAGAAAGCAGGCACAGTGCACCAGGCCGAGGTAGGGCACCTGAAGGCCTGCCCTCTGACCAGTCACTTCCGACTCTCTTCTTGGAAACAAAGGAGCAAATCACAGAAGGAGAAGAGAGACGGGGTACATACCAAGTCCTCCAGGTTGCAGTTGGCCCCATTCTTAATCAGCTCCTTCACTATCTCCAGATTGCCCTGCTCGGCAGCGATCATCAGCGGAGTCTGCCCACACTGCAGAGCAGAAGAATCTTGGGTGCTGGCCAGGCTGCACACTCACCCTCACACAGGGGTCCTCGCCTCCCTCACCTCCCTTACCTCCCTCGCTCGCTGTCTCCAAGGACACTTCCCCCGCTGGGACACAGCAAGGATGCTCTCACCAGCACCAGCCCCGACCCTGGACTTCTCAGCTTCCACAACCACGAGAAAAAGAACTTGTTTAGAAATCTCCCAGTCTGTGGAATTGTAACATAAAAGCAGTGCAGAGAGACTAAGCCCCTTGCTTTACTACTCACGGTGACTCCAAGCCAGCACAGAATGGAACACTATCATCAATGGGGCTGCCTGTAGCTCACCTGTATCTCAGCTTCCCAGATGCCCAGGCTGCACAAACACCTACATTCAAGCGCTGCTTCATTCTTTCTAATTCCTGGAAATTTCTAATTTCCTATTTCTCCTTACTTGGGGGGTGTGGTTGAGACAAAATCTTGCTGTATAAGTCAGGCTGGCCTTAAACTCACTATGGAGCCCAAGTTGGCCTCAAACTCACAGCAATCTTCCTGCCTCAGCCTCCTGAGTGCTAGGATTATGGGTATGCACCACCATGTCAGGCCCTAAACAATATTTTTAAAATAATACATTTTATTATCCTCAATTTGCTAATAAAATATCTCATCTATTTATAAAACTTCTTCACTATGCATGATCATAGAAAGGTGTGATGCTAACTAACCAAAATATGCTAAACAAAGAAACATTAAAAATATAACCACTATTATTAAAAACATAGACATTGACATTAGGTGAATTTTATTCTAAAGACTCCAAGAAAGGCGGGAGGGGACAAACCGATTATAGCTTGAGAGCAAACAGAGCAGGGTTAAAATTTATGCCACACCAGGCAAAGTGGTGTATGCCTGTAATCCCAGCATTCAGGAGGCTGACAGGAGAATCACTGAGAGTTCAAGGTCATTCTAGGCTCCATAGTGAGTTCAAGGCCAACCTGAACTACGCGCTAAGACCCTGTTTCAAAAAAAAACTTAAGACTATCCCCAACTGTGCATTTAAAAAATATAAAAATAGTTAAAATGGTAAATTTCATCTTACGTGCTTTTCTACCACAATAAAAATTTCAGAAATAAAACTCTTAACTGCCAGGCATGGTGGTGCATGCCTGTAACCCCCAGCTGTTCAGGAGTCTGATGCAGGAAGATTACAAGTTCAAGGTCAGCCTGGGCAACTCAGGAAGACCGTCTCAAAATAAAAGGATGAAAAGGGCTGGAGACGTAGCTGAGTGGCATCACTTGCCAGCATGTGTGAGGCCCTGAGTTCAATCCCTGAGCACAAAAACATTTTACCTCTCTACACGCAGATACACTATGGGCACACACACATGCACCTACACACCTGTACACACAGGTGCACGTTTTGTGCAAAATATTGTTTCTCAGTCATCTTATCTACCTGCTGCCAAAAAATATACTGTATTGGAAATACAGCTCTAAGAGAGGGGGTTATTTCACTTCTTTGGAGAAGACATTGCTGAGTCTGTCTGCCCACTAAGTGGCTGGGCTATCTGCTTCTTGGTGTCAAGGTGCTGGAGCTCTCTGAACACCGTGGACGCGGATCCTCTGCCGGAAGAGCAGCAGCAGGCTTTCCTCCGGTCTGTGGGGTGCCTCTTTCCCACTGCTCCGTCTGTTCCTTCTTGCTATTATTTCCTGTGCTATTCAGGAAGTCTTTGCCTTGCTTGCGACATAAATTATTCTCCTTATGCTCATTATGCTTTCTTCAAAGAGCTGAAAAGTTTTAGGTCTTATACTTAGGTTTCTGATCTGGTTTTAACTGATTGGGCAAAAAGCTTTTTAAAAGCCTTAATTTTGTCTGGTTGATCTATTTATAGGAAGAGTGAGTCTTTGATGCTCTCCAGGCCCCTAGAAGCATTTTAGTTCTCTGGAATGATTACTCCCCTGGGGACCAAAGAGAGCACTGAAAACCTTATGTTCACTGCTCAGTCATCTTCTGAGGCCCAAGGCCCATTTTCCTCACTGGTCTGTCTTCTCAGAACAGGGCCTTGCATGGAACAGGCAGTCCACAAATACTTGTGTTCAGAAACTTGGTCTTACCTCATTTCTCTCATCGACATCTTTGCATTTTTCCAGAAGCGCTTTCAGGGCAGGAATGTTTTCTTCCTCTACGTAATTTATCACACTCTGTGATATTAGAACTGACATTTTCACAGAAAGCTGTAGTTATCTTTATGTCAATACCTGTTAAAAGTAAATTAGACAAAACATACAGTTGGTGGTTAGGAAAGAGCTAACTTACTACTATGCATGTTGCCAGTCCCAACCTTCAATGCTGGCAAACCAGGCCCCGTCACTCAGCTGTCAGAATGCTGACAGGACAGTGTCCTTCCCAAGACCCACTCAACCCGAGCCAGAGCTGGGCCCACCCCAGACGCTCCTCCGAACCACCCCAAGCGCAAAGCGGAGCCTCTACTCCCTTGCTGTCTCATCTGACACACTGCAGCTCCCGGGCCCAACAGCTGGGATGCATCTGCGACTCCCCCCTCCCTCTCGGTCTGAATTCAGTCTACCAACACCTGCAGAGCGCACCTCGCAGGTGCAATTCCTGCGTCCATCACTGCACCCTGCCTCTAGGCCACAAAGCCCAGAGAAGGGCTCTGCTAGCCAGAGGTGGGGTGCAGACATCTCTGTGAAGAGGACACAGTGGAGCCGGGCTTCTCCCCAGCTCTCCACTCCCCAGAGCAGGTCTAGCACAGGGCCTACAGAGCAGGGGGAGAGGGAGAAAAGTCGCCCTGACCAGTGGGCACCGGCCTGGCACACACAGCAAGGCCTTGGTGTCCAGAGCAGCACCCTCACACAGTGCCCCTTTGAGACCACATCAGAACCAAGCAAGGCAGCTATGACTCGCATCTGAACACTGCTAAAACACGAGCAGTGCCCACCACAACACGCCTAGACGGCTCCCTGCCCTGGCTGCCTCTGTAATTACTGCTTTATCCTTAACTCCAGTCTCCTTCTAAACAAGTTTTCCACTAGCCAGTCCAGAGTGACCGACCTCCTGAAGCACCTTCCCTAAACTGGACAACCTGCATGTCGCCATCTTCAAATAGCTGCAAAGTTACACGCAAAGGCCTTAAAACGGGGCCTAGCACAGGAGCTGAAGAAACCCAGCATCAGCTCCCAGTATCTTCTGTCACAACAGAAGATTAGAATTTCCTAAGCACCTTTTTTACCAGCTTCCCTAACCTATTGTTCTCTGTCACAGGACCCGTTTTATTTCCTTCCTAGCATCCTTCTACAATTGCCCTCTTCATATTTGCCTGTGTAGTAACTGTCTCTCCCACCAGGACATAAGCTTTTGAAAGAAAGGACTGTTTTCTTTTGTCCCATACCAAATACCCAGCACCAGGCACAATTTCTGGGCCACAAAAGACCTGCCCCCTGCCTTCCTAACCACAGGACACCAGCTACTCCACCATGCACAGCACTTCCTGTCTAACGGGGCATGAAATTATCTGTTCTCGTGCATAGGAGCAGAAGCCTGGCTCTACACAGCTTTTTAAATGGCAGATTCAGTCAACAGCAACACCGGAAAAATATCTTGATGTTGTAGTGAGCTCATCTTTGGAATCTTTAACAGGTTAAAAAAAATAGTTATTTAGCATATTCAAAATGTTTTCACCAAAGGGCCTATGGGCCAAGGTACATTTCTCTTTTCCCCAAGGAAGCCTGTGCAGCACTGCGGCCAGCGACACGGCATATCCTTCGCTGCCTTGGCTCCCACGGCACCTACTCCAGGCCTCTCCTCTTCCCCACTGAGTCTCCAACAACAATGGCCCAGCGTGGCCGTGACCACCCCGAGGCCTGCATTGGAGCCTGGTGCATCCTGGACACACCACACAGGGCTGGGCTGTGAGCCAGAAGCCTCTGGCAGGGTACTCCGTGTCCCAACTCCACAGCAGCCGTCCTTGCTCAAAACCAGACCCTCAGCCCCCCAGCCAGTGACACAGGCTCCTCTCTTCTCTGCTCAGCACCCACACAGCCCAGGACCCCCTGCTCTCTGAACATCAGCTGCCACGACCTCCAGCTCAGACAGTCAGCACCTCATGGCTCCAGACCTGGACGCCTGACCTAGCGAACACTGGTGAGGCACCAAGTGCAGCCTGCGAAGCTTGTTCTAGGGTGGTGCTCACACTCCCTGGCTCCCTTCTCTCAGCCCTCAGCCGCCTGTGTGGACCGTGTCACTGGGTTCGCACACTTCACACAGGGCTTCAGTTCCTTCTCATGCTGATGCATCACAAGCATTTACTGTGAAACCCTTGCACTCAAGGCCAGGCCTTACTCACCTCTCCATTTTAAGGGCCTAAGTGAGGGCTTGGCACCTCAGCATAAATGGTTACAGCATTAACCAGAATATAATGACATAAGCTATTTGCAACCTAAATTTTATGGTGTTTTGAGACAGTCTCGCTAGGTAGCCCACACTAGCCTTGGGCTCATGTCGATCCTTCTGCCTCAGCCTCCCAGAGTGCTGGGATTGCAGATGTGCACCACCACACCCATCTTGCAACCTAAATTTTAATCTTACAGTTGGTGACTGAGTGAGGAGTAAGAGAGTTCACCGTACTATTCTTATGAGTCTTTCATAAGTTAAAAATTAAAATGAAAATCTCCTCCCAGGTCAGGCAAGGACCTCCAGCTGCTCTACCATCACCCACGCCTGATGTGCCCGCAGACCCTCAAGAAGGAAGAAGTCCAAGGGGCAAGGGGCCATCTGTGCTGCAAATGTCTGGGGCACTGCTTTGGTCTTGATCAAAAATGTGCCGCTGCTGCTCCCCCGTCCCCCACTCTGAGGCGAGCAACGGTCAAGCTCTGGGGACCACAGCCTGGCTTCAGGAGCCAGGTCACTGGGGCATAACCCACAAGGGAATATTCCTGGTCCAGCTCTCCCCTCTCCAGTCTCTTCCTCGCTCTGCTTCCTGGCTCCCATGAGGTTAGTCTTCCACACTCCTCCACCATGACATTTCTACCCTGGGGCAGACCATGGACTGAAACCACTGAAACTGTGAGCCAAAACAAATCTTTAAGTTGTTTATGTCGAGTACTTCATGACAACCATGCAAATGCTAAGACAAGGCATTGTTAAATGCAAGACCTACACTAGTCTGTGGGAGATTCCTACAGCGCCCTCAATAAGCTTCAGTTCACCGTGACGATAAACTCTCGTGACAACAGCATTTACACATCACTCTCGCTTAGGAGACTCTTCATAGCTATGCTCTTGAGTTTTCAACAATTCTGTAGAGCAAATATTATTTTTCATTTTACAGATGACAAAGCAGGTTTCCACATTAAGTAACCTGCCTAACAGAATCCAAAAAGTAAATGTTATAGCAAGGTGATAACCCTGAGCTGTAACTAATTCAAGGTAGAGCAGTGCCAGAGGAACCCAAATCACCGTGAGTTCTGAAGAGAAGCTACCGCTCTGCTGGGACGCCATGGAAGTTCCATCTTGTGCAGACCTGGAGAGCAGGCGCGAGTACTCAAGGTGGGAAATGAGCAAGGGCATGCCAAGCAAAGGGGCAGCTCCAGCACAGGGGCAAAGTGCTGATGGAGTGACTGGGTCTCAGGAGTGGCGTGAAGGAGGCCTTTGGGTGAGAAGTGAGAGTGAGGCGGAGAGCCAAGGCAGTTTCATCTGTAATCGCTCCAAGGACAAAGGCCCTGCTACTCTCAACCACTGTGTTCTCTAGATCACCAGAACTGATGACCCACATACGTGATGCGCAGAGATAGGCTGGGAAATCTGCACCAGCCACTGTGGACCCTGTGTAAGATGTTACAGTTCTGCAGCAGGCAGCAGAGTGAGCTCCACAGACACAGAGAAAACCACTCCTAAGCAGCGTTGGCTGGTCCTGGCTTTTCATTTAGTCCTCCATGGCTCCTCTTTGCTGTTCCTTGACTTCTATGCCCCTCTACAGCAACACATGAGGGGAGAAACTGACAGATCTTTAGGCAAAGGAGGAAGAAGGGGATGGCACACTCAGATGAGACCCTAGGAAAACTTATCTCCTCGAAGTGTACACCACCCAGACTGGGAAAACACAAAGAACCAGAACTCTGGGCACCGGTCATGGATCCACCCAAACAGCCCCAGAAGAGGGACCAGGCAGTGGGGCTGGAGAAGAAATGGGAGATACTGTTACCTTCAACAATACAAAATCCCTAGCATTTGTGTTTTTGGACCCACCAAAATATTCAGAAGAAATTCTGCACGAAAAAAAAATTTTAAATCATGGGACTGGAAAAAAAAAAGAACAGGTCAAAGATGACTACATGCAACGTGTGACTAGAGGTTGTGCTGTCACCTTCCAAAAGGAGAGGGAGGAGGAGGGGCAGAGGTTTCTCTGAGGCTCATGCCTATCACTCCCACCACCACAGCAGCATGAACAAGGTTGTGGGGGGTTCAGACCAAGGTGAAGTGCTCCAAAAAAAGCAGGGTTGGGGAAAACCACCCAATCTTTGAAAAGACAAATCTGGAAATGGCTCACACAAAGACTGCGGAAAAGGACTCTCACACAAGGACTCTCAACACACTCTCACACTGACTCAGAGGGGTGCACAAGGCCTGTCATGTGCTGCACAGTCTCCATCCTGAAAGCCCTGTTCAGTAGAAACTGACATTTCAACAAGCACCTGAAAGATTAGACCCACACTAGCAAGCTCGAGAACAAAGAACACACCTTGCTACGGCTTTTTTTTTTTTTTTTTTTAACTTTAGCTCCACACCAGACAGAAACCCTACAGGTGCTTTAAAAAAAAAAACAAAAAAAAACAAACTTGATTTCTGGTCCTCGCTGTAGTCAAAATGTGGGCAGAAACCAAAACCTAAGAATCACGCAAAGGGGATTCTTGAGCCACACCCCAGGCCAAACAATTACCATTCGGTAACCACTGACAGCTAAGAAAGCTGCATTTTTAACAAGCGCCTCTAGGGTGCAGAGAAGGCTCTATAAATTGTTTCTAATAAAAAAAAAATTCTTCATTGAGTTAAGCCTCTCTAGATGGCGAAACGACCTCTTCAAAGAATAAATATTGCAACACTGGTGGCTGCAGAGAAACCCTGGACCGCGGTGGTCCCTGGCTTGCTGGGACATATTGTAAGGTGCTAAATTAGAAGTCTGCCCAGGACAATGGAGCAATGGAGTGAGAGGAAGAAAACAATAACGCCGCGCCTGCGGACGCTCGGGAACGAAGACCTGACCCGCCGGGCTAGCAGAGGACCAGCGAAAGGGGGTCTCGAGGCGGTGGGGTGCAAAGGCCCACGCTGCTTCACCAACCACCTCGCCCCGACCACCGCCCTCAGGTGGCCAGGGCGGCAGGGAAGACTGACCAGAGCCACCTAGCCCCCGACCTTCCCGGCGCCTGGCAGCGCCTACCCGTCCGAGAGCGTGCGCGACCCGACCGCCCAAGCAGCCCTGCCGGACGCCGTACCCCCTTGACCCCCCAACCTCCGACCCCTGTCCGGCCGGCCGCGCCCCGAGACCCCCTCCTCACCCGAACTCCTCCCGTCACTCGCGAAGCCCGCGGCCGCCCCCGCAACTTACTCCCTCACCAACCGCCTCGAGGACAGCGCCCTCGGCTCGGCTGGGCCGGCTCGCAGCACCGCGGGCGGCGTCAGAGGACGGGGGCGGCGGAGCGGTCGGCTTGCGAGGCAACCTGCGCGGGGCCGGCGACCATCTTGCTGTGCGCTGACAGGTCACGTGACGGCGGGCGTCCTCGGGACGGGCTGTGCGCGCTTGCGCGGCTCCCTAAGGGCGGGGCCCAAGGCCTCTGCGGTGAGCTAGGTCCGGCCCATTTTTTAATTTTTAGTTTTGAGACAGGCTGTTCCTTAAGTTGCTGAATTGCCCAGGCTGGGCTCAAACTTGCAGTTCTCCTGCCTCAGGCTTCCAGAGTGCTGGGATGCCGGCCTGGAATGTGCTCATTTCCGGACTCCACGGTGGCCAGGACATGGTCAGTATTCACACCTTGTTAACTTGTCTCCCTGCCCACCATAAGGGCTGTCTGACCTGGTTCCCCTACCTCATCCCCATGGGCCAGCCACCAGCCCCTCACCAGGTTTAGAGCAGTGTCTGGCTTCAGCCTCCTCTACTGAGAAGTCACCCTTCGACGACTGCATTGTACACTGTTGCAGTCTCCCTCATTGCTTCATGAGGGACCCACACACCGTGACCATCTAGGGACAAAGGACAAACAGACCTCATACTCACCAGAAGCCTGATTTCAGGTGGGCACAGTGACGCATGTCTGTAATCCCAGCACACTGGGAGGCTGAGGCAGGAGGATCACGAGTTCAAGTCCTTCTTGGGGAACTTACCAAGACCCTGTCTCTAAATAAAAAGAAGGCAGGTGTGGTAACATACCTGTGTAATCCCATCATTCAGGAGGCTGAGGCTGGAGGATTGGTGGGAGCTCAAGGCCAGCTACATAGTGAGTTCAAGAACTTCGTAGTGACACCCTGTCTCTAAGTAAATAATAAATAAGCCCGCTTGGGGTGTAGCTTCGTGGCAGAGCACACCTGGGTTTGATCCCCAGTACCACACACACAGCAAAGCATTATTTATGACTTGTGTTTTCTTCTGAGGCAGTCAGGGACCTAAAAGTGGCTCTTCCTCAAAAAAACAGGACTCCTCACTTGGCCCTGGGGATGCCCACTGATAACTAAAGGAGAACAGGGCATGACTTTCGTTCACTGTGTAAAAGTCAAGTCAGGTCCTCCCAGTCCTGTGTAGGGTCTGTCCTGGAGTGGGTGACTCAGGGTTATTAGCCCTGAGTTTACCCGGCCTGTCTTGAGCCCAGACAAGACAGAGGACCAGGGGAAGGACTGTGCAGGGACGACCCGGTGTCCCCTGCAGCCTCTGTCACCTGGACCTTGGTCACCTGGATTCCAGCAGAGCCTCATGTGCCTGCCCCTCCAGCAATACGAAGGTCCCTAAGTCAGGAGGACTTAGCCGCAGTTGTCCAACAGGGCTGCGCTGACCAAGCACCTCCACCCCCATCCCCTCAAGCCAGTGCTCCAGCCCAGGCTCCTAATGTCTCCTCTTCCTTCTTACAGCAGTTTCCTACAAATTCCTGCTTTCCTTTACATTTCCACTATCACTAACCCAAGGCCCCACACAAGCCAGGAATAACAGCAAAATTTGTTTTTTTTTCTTTTTGGTTTTTTTGAGACAGGGTCTCACTGTGTAGTCCAGCCTGGCCGTGAACTCACTATGTAGTCCAGGCTGCCCTGGAATTCACAGCGATCCTCCTGCCTCAGCCTCCAGAGTGCTGAGATCACAGGCATGCACTATCATACCCAGCCTCATAGCAAGTTCTGATAAAGCCAGACTCTGGCTTTTCTCATGAGTTTCCACGTCAACACATTGATGAGAACACATCTTAATCAAATGTGAACTTTTTTTTTGTAGTTGTGGTGATTGAACCCAGGCCTTTGCACTGAGCTCCATCCCCAGCTCTTTATATTCTCTTACCTTTATATTTTGAACAGGGTCTTGCTGAATTTCCCAGGCTGAGCTCCAGCTTGCAGTCCTCCTGCTTCAACCTCCTAGAGTGCTGGGATGAGACACATTCACCGCTGTGCCCTGCCTCCCTCATGAATGTTTCTGAAGTCAAGACCTGACCTTCAGTGGGAGCAAAGCAACGAGTGTAGTTTTTAAAACACCCATCCTCCTAGTTGACCTCAGGAATTGTGGTTCTCAGACTGTCCAAATCAGCAATTTCAAATATGAGCATCTCCTTTTAAGGCCGAACAGACATTGGCAGCTGGGCGTGGTGGCACATGCCCTCGATCCCAGCGCTCAGGAAGTGCCCCATGCAGTCTGGGCTGGCCTCCAGCTCATGGTGATCCTACATAAAAGTGGGAAGAAGAGAGAACACCCCAAACTCACCACTCGGAGTTTTGGCTTTGTTTCTTCAGTACAGCTTTGCACTGAGCTATATCCCCAGCCCTTTTGAGACAAAGTCTTGCTAAGTCACTAAATTGCCCAGGCTAGGCTTGAGTTTAAATCCTCCTGCCTCAGCCTCCTGAGTAGCTGGAATTACAGGTGTGTGCCACCACTTCCAGCTTCATTTTTTATCGTAAATATTTATTTTCTAAAAACAAAAAATGAATACTGTCATTTTTTTATTCCACAATTTTTTCCCTTTTGTGCCTTTACACAAGCCTGATTCAGCCACTCACATAATCACTAGAAATGTAGAGGGAGTTGGGGTGGATAAAGTTGGGGCAGAGATGTCTCCTGGTTGGAAGATAGGGAAGGCTTTATGTTTACTTTTGTCGTTTGGAGACAGGGTTTTGAAATGAAAAAACAAAAGACAAAGCAGAGCCTGACAGTCTCAGGCTTGCCCCTCCTGCTAGACCCATGAAGGTCATTGTGCCCGGAAGATGAACTGCTGAAACACAGCTGCCTGTATCTCCGAGTCTTACAGATAAACTGTAAAAGCAGCATCTGCCTGCACCTTCCTGCCCTGTGCTAGGTTCTGCTTCTGTAAAATTCTGCTTGCTTCCCCACCCTGCCTAAAGAGCAAGATAAAAATGAAAACAAACATAATTAATTGGGCCTCAGACCCTGGAAGGCAACTTCCACTGAGTCTGCTAGCAAATAAACCTGCCTTTCCTTCAACTCTCTGAGCAATGCTCTCTTCCTTGGTCTGCCTGCCCTCTGAGTTGCCAAAACAGTCTCGCTGTGTAGCCCAGGCTGGCCTTGAACTCACAATGATCCTCCTGCCTCAGCCTCCCTAGTGCTGGGATTATGGACATGTGCCCCTGCACCCCACCCACATGGAAATTCTCATAGCTTCTCGGTGAAAGGCACAGAACTCCACAGCTGCACCTGAGGCATGGGAAGGAGGTGGGGTGAGAGTGGAGGCAATGCTGAACAGTCCTCTAGGAGACCTGAAGGCCCAGGCAGTGACATGGAGAATGCCCTGAATCTGCTGGGCACTGCCAAGATGCTGCTAGAGAGCGTGACTCAGGTGCCCAGGCGCAGGTGCAGTGGAGGAAGCTACTCGATTTAACAAGGGCCTGTGATCCCAGCACACTGGGAGGCTGAGGCAGGAGGATCCCTGTTGGAGCACAGCCTGGGCAACTTAGCAAGACCCCATCTCAAGAACTATAAAAAGCTGGGGATGGAGCTCAGGGTGAAGGCCCTGGGGTCAATCCCCAGCCTACAGCGAGGCTGTGTTCTCAGGACAGACCCGGCTTTTCTGTATGAAACTGTGAAGGGAGAAGCACCGGAAGAGACAGACTGGTGTGCCATGGACTCCCGGGACCCTGGGGTGGACGTGGAAGATGGATGCATGAAGAAAAGTCCAAACATTGGAAGACTGAAGACAGATGATCTGGTAAATACAGATGTATCGATTGCTTTGATTTGACAGAAGAAAATTTCACACGATGATTGCAGCTGTAGGTTTTAAGCCATCGTGTGGGGGTCCCCGAGGGCCCTGCATCAAACACTAGAAACCCCTGTGTTGTTTAGGACCCAGATCCCAGTGGGACCCAGCCAAGAGCTCGTGGCTTGTGACGTGAAGTCCCCTTGGCCTGTCCTCTGGGAACTGAGGGTCTCAGAAGTCAGATGATCCTCACCCAGTCCCTTCCCAAGATCTCAGGTTGTTCTTCTGTCTGCTCTCCCATTACTCTGGATGAGAATTAACAGAACTTTTAACTCATCTGTTTATGGCCTTACGGTGCCCCCAAAAGACATCACTTTCATGGAAAGACTGCACCGGGTGAAGGAAGGGACACACAGGTCCCTGAACTCTTACTGCTTCAAAGTCTATAAATGCAACCTGGCACGGAGGAGCTGGCCTGTAGTCCCAGCACTCAAGAGGCTGAGGCAGGAGGATCACTGGAAGTTCGAGGCCAGGCTGGGCTACACTACAGTGAGTTCAAGACCAGCCTCGACTACATAGCAAGACCTGTCTCAAAAAACCAGAAAAAAGAAAAAATCAGTGACAAGAGAATTATCAGCCTATGGAAAGAGCCTTCATAAAGAGACCATTGCCACTCTCGAGAGCCACCTCTGCAGATGGAAATGGGTCTGAAATTAGCAAATGCACACACGTGGACTTTAAGCTACCATTTAATCAGTTTTAAAGACACACAAATTAGAAAAAGGAAGAATGTACACTAAAAATACCTTTCAAACCCAGCAGCACCCAGCCACAGGTTCAGCTGGGGAGCTGGGGAGGCAGGCGTGGCCGCAGTTTGTCCCCTCAGAGTCCCACCACAAGGGACAAGAGCTGATTTATGGACCTGCTGAAAAATAACACTTCTTTAAAAAAATATTTTGGAATCCTAAAAACAGCACAGCCCACAGGAGACTCCCAGGGAGGAGGTGGCCGAGTCGGGACACTTCTGGGGACTGGACCACAGGCGGCCATGGCAGCCGAGGTTTCCAGATGGGGATGAACCTGTGTCCTCGCTGGGGCCTTGCCCTGGGGAGCCAACAACCCCAGCCCACCTGTGGGGTCGGGTACTTTGGCCCACCAGAGGCGGAGTTAACGCCTGGCCCACTCCCTTGCTGTGTTTTGTCCTCTCATGGGGAAGATGGACAGGAACATCTGCAAACCAATTTCTCTAAGAAGTGAACCCACTAGGAGACCAAGCGGAGGCAGTCCGGGAGCCAGGGGAAGAGTGGCCGGTGACACCTTCCATGCCACTCGCCCTCTGGAGATCGAGGTCACATGGCCTGGCTGCTGGGTAACCAGTTCCTCACTGTATTTCCACTTCTTTCTGCAGTAGCAAAACTGGACAAAACTGGGCTGGAGAAGATGGCTGAGTCTCACTGGCTAAGTTTCAGACAGCAGTTTACATGGGTCTGTCTTTAATTATTCTTACAACATAGTCTTGGGCTTTTTGTTTTGCTGTTTTATAAAAGTTGTACTAAAAGAAGAGCTATTATCAGTTTTCAAAGGCAAGACGAATTAGTTGGCATAAAAATGTCTCTAGGTTCTGTTTCATGAAGTTTTCCCAGTGATCTATGGTGCTTGTCAGTTCCTTATTGGGGTCAGCATGTTAAAAATCGATTAAATATTATTTTAAAACATATAAAACGTTATTAAGCAGCCTGCCAACTCAAATGTCATTGGCTGCATCCTTTGTACAAGACCCTCAAAAGCAGCTAACTGGTTGATTATAAGATCATTCCTTTAAAGTATCAATATGGAAGATTTCACTTTTAGTTTTCTTCAGGAAGGAGAGTTATTATAGATTGACTACAGGGTGTGGCAGAAAACCAATGTAGAGATCTCCCACATTCTGATCCTTCCAATTCACATTTCAGAGTGGGTTTCTTTTTTAAAAAATTCAATCTCTAGGCCGGGTGTGGTGGTGCATGCCTGTAATTCCAGCACTTGGGAGGCTGAGACAGGAGGATTGCCAGGGGTTTGAGGCCAGCCTGGGCTACATAGTGAGTTCAAGGCCAGCCTGAACATAGGGAGACCCTGTCTCAAAAAACAAAAAGAAAATAAAATCTTTCCCTGCATCATTACAAGCTTGGGCTGATGCAGACCCACTTTTAGAGGGCAACAGGAACCAAACATTCAGCATGGAGAGACACATGCGCATGAGCACCCCTTCACTGGTGCCTCTAGGTCAAAAGCAACAGCTATGTGAGGCACTGAGGGGCCAGGGTGGACCCTAACTGCCTAAATAAAATCCCTGCTAATACTGGCTTATGCACAGCAACAGGCAGCGCCGTGGAAACAGGAATTCTCTCAAGTAACTTCTCTTTCAGTTAGAATTTGAACTCTTAGCCCAGGTATGCTGGCTCACATCTGATTCCAGCACTCAGGAGGCCAAGGCAGGACTGCTGTGAGTTTGAGGCCATCCTGGATGACACAGTGAGACTCTGTCTCAAAAAAAAGAAAGAAAGGAGTAAGAACTCTTAAAAGCAATTATCTAATAATTATGAACAACTGTTAAGGAAACAAGAGTAAATATAAATGTCCAGATTTGCTTGTGAATATACAAAGTCACAAGCTATGAATTTTAAATAAGGAAGATTTTTTTGTCCTAAAAGTTGAGTCCTTAAATTAAAGTATAGCCTGTGCAACTATTTTATTTATTTATTGGGTTTTTTTGGTACTGGGGATCGAACTTGGGTCCTTGTGCTTGCAGGGCAGACACGGAACCACTGAGCTAAATCCCCGGCCCATGTGCAACTATTTTAATGACAACATTTTACAGGAATTGTTTTCTGTAGTTTAAAATAAAAGGAAGCCGAACTGTTGGAATACAATAAATTTTGAGAAGTTTTCTGGTGATAAACCCTGTCCAGGAAAGTCAGAAATTTATACAATTTCTTGAGACAGAGTCCCAGCATTCAGCCCAGGCTTCCCTTGAGTGCTTCCCTTGAGCTCCTGGAGTGCTGGGTTACAGGTGTGTGTGCTGCGCCTCCTGGCTAGAAACTGACATCTTTGATAGCATGCTTCCCCGATTTTACATAGCAAAGAAACCAAAAAGGCAGAGAAAGTAGAAAGCAAACACATTTTATTTCCAGTAAAGACACTTTCTCTGAAAGCGACACTTAGGGCAGGGACAGTGGGCATGGCATGTGTTCACCCTCCCAGCCTAATACACAAGGGCTTCCTGTTGCCATGACAACCCGCTCTGGGTGCGTGGAAGAGGGGGTCATGCTCAGTGAACCCACCCTGGGCTCCTGCAGACCTCTCTCTGAGGAAGGGAACTTGCCACCCCAGCACCCACGCTGCTTCTCCCCTCACGACTCCGAGCAGTTTGTGAGCCGAGCATATTGAGCACACTGGGAGGCTAAGGCAGGAGGGCCCCAAGTTTGAGCCCAGCTTGGGCAACTGAAGTGAGCCTGTCTCAAAAAAATAACAACAAAGGGGGAGGGGTGTGGCTCACTGTGAAGGTCTTGGGCTGGATCCTCAGTAACACACACATACACAAAGTGGTGTGTGTACAGGTCGGGTGTACGAGTGTCACATATGGTGGGAACCAGTCACAAAGTTTTTAACCCAGTGGGAGGTGCTAGCTGCACATTTTTGAAGCCAATAAATCCTCTTTATCACTCAATATTTTTGAAGTGGAATAACTTTCCCAATGACCCTGAGTTCTAAAGAAAATGCTTATTTTTTGTTTTTTTGGAGACAGAGTCTTGCTATATAGCCCAGGCTGGCCTCAAACTCTCAGTGACCCTCCTGCCCCAGCCTCCTGAGTGCTGGGATTCCAAGTGTGCACCACCATGGCCAGCAAAAATGTTTATTTTAAAAAGAGAATGAGGGGCTGGGGATTTAGCTCAGTGATTTCACTGCCTGCTGCACAAGTGCAGGCAGGGGCCTGAGTTCGATCCCCGGTACCAAAAAAAAAAATAATAATAATAACAAGAGAATGAGCCACTTATAAGGTGGTAACAGCTGAAACATTCCAAGTTAAATGAACTATTATTGTTTCGATGAAATGAAGGGAAGGATAATTATTCTCCCTTGAGTAGTATGTAATGAACCAATGTAACTATGGTGTTGATTGATCACCTCTGGAGTGGTTTCAAGATGTTGGAAGAGTTAAAAAATAATATAAATACATGCCGAACTCTATTTTGTAATCCCAGCACTCAGGAGGCTGAGGCAGGAGGATCACTGTGATTTCCAGGCCAGCCTGGACTACAAAGTGATAGCCTGACTCAAAACAAAAAGAAAAACAAATAGGTGAGGGTGTTTCTAAAGTTCTAAAACAACACACTGCCGTTTTTGGCTGAGCCCTCACGAGTCCTCTTCTTCAAGTGAAATACTGCACAGTCTCAACCAGATCACTTCGTTCTTGGCTCCATTCACAGTTTATTAGTGACCGCAGAGACTCATCATGGACAGGCAATTTGCATTTCATTAAAAATTTTAAGGCAAAAAGAAAATAAATCTACAAAAGATCGGTCAAAGGACAAAGGACAGAGGTGCGCACGGACCGTCCGTCCCTCCTTCCACGTCCCACCTCAAGCTTGCTGTCCACTGCTGTAGCCCCATGGTCACCTGTGAAGGTCCCCTCAGAAGCCAGGGTCCCTGCCAGCTCCGCCCCCTCACCCAACCCTCAACCCTCAGAGGCAGCAGCAATGCTTTCATAGCTTTCATGAGAGAGCGCCGGCGGAGTCTGCCCATCCAACTGTTCCACACCTGCCACTCAGACTCGCTAACTTTCCATTTCCTGACAGCTTTCCTGCTGTTCTCACAGGAATCAGAGCAACAAGAGTAAGACACGATTAGCCAGAGTCACCTTCACTACCAGAAACTGCTGAAAACTTCTGAGTGAGCTACCACTGTTTCCTACTTTCTCTGAATTCTATATCACTTTGTTTTTTGAGACAGGGTCTCCCTGTGCTGTGCAGGCTGGCCTGGAACTCACCGCAATCCTCCTGCCTCAGCCTCCCAAGTGCTGGGATTACAGGTGCGCCACCATGCCTGCCTGAATTCTATTTAACTTACGCTTGATAAATTTCACTGAAAAGTCTGAAGTATTACCAAGTCCTTAAACTTTTATGCCTCACGTGGCTGTCTGATGCAGAAAGGGAACGTTCTGCCACTTGCTGCAGGTCAGCTGGCCTTATCTTCTCTTTTTTAAGAAAATAAGCTTAAAATGTCACTTCACCTCCCTTTAATTATGCTTAAAATTCTCCCTGGTAGGGCTGTCTGACTGCTAAAAGGTAATTAAGCTCTCCAGCGAAACCAGCTATCTATAATTTGGCAACCCAAACTGTAGACATTCATTATGAATTTTACCTTATTTTGGAGGTTTTTTTGAGACAGGTTCTTGCTATGCAGGCCAGACTGGCCTCAAACTTCCCGAGATCCTCCTGCCTCAGCCTCCGGGCTGCTGGTATGACAGGCGTGCGCCACCATGCCCGACTGGCTATGAATTTTAGCCATTTGAGATACTTTTAAGAAAACGCTTCAAATACTGAGATGTTTATTGCATTTTTAAAAAAGTCTCCACAATCTTAAATATCCTGTTTCAAATTCTTCCTAAATCCCTTTACAGCACACAACATGGAATACTGAAACAGCCTTCTCACGCCATTCCACCTGAAAAGACCACCGAGGAATGATATTTTCGGAAATAGAGGGTTTAAGGCAAGACACTCGTCTGGAAGAGCTAATCCATCGCAGTCACTGCACTGGCACGGTCCGTCTCTGCCTCGTCGGCGCAGGTACATTCAGCAGCCACTCACAGGGCCCTGGGGAGAGGGACACTGAGTAAGGCGAGGCCTGGCAGGCAGGAGGCAGTGCTCAGGACCCTCGGAAATCCAAGGGCTGCACAGAGACCGGTCTGACACAGTGAGCCTCCTCACTGCCTCGGTGGCCAGAGTCTGCAGGCCCCACCCGGGGCCTGGCTGCTGATGCTGTTTGTCGTGGAGAAGCTGTTCGGCCCTGGGGAACCGTCTCTGTCCTCAGACTTTTTGTAAGGTGACGGCTGGAGGTCTGCATGTGCCATCTCTCTCCTTCGAGGTTTTTTCACTGGCAGCAATAATAAAACTAAGATTCCACAAATGTGAAGGCAGTAATACCAGGAGCTAAGAGAAAAAAGGAAAACAGTTTCTCAATTTCTTTTGTTGAGACAAGTCTCGCTTGAACTTTCGATGATCCCCCTGCCTCAGCCTCCCAAGTGCTGGGATCCAGGTGTGCACCTCGGTGCCTAGGTTAGTTTATTAAATTCTGATAGTAATCCATAATACCTGCACATGTGTCCACACACCACAGGCCCCCTTGGGGAGTACTTATTCACTACTCTTCTATCTTTCCCCTCAGGAAGCAGAACTCCACTGTGTAGCTGGGGATATTTGCTTATTTTTAATTTGGGGTGTTTTTTTTGAGACAGTCTCACTACGTAGCCCAGGCTGGCCCTGACAGGCACACACTAAGCCTGGCACTGTGGGATTTATAAAGCACTGTCTCCAGCCAGCTGCTGGTGAGCTAGACTAAAGTGTCACCACCTTCTGTAAGGGCCCCAGGGCCACGGCTACTGAGGACGGAGACCAAGGGTGCTTATTACGGCAGCTCTTGTCCTGCCTGCTGGCTCTGGACAGCAAGGCTCCCAGCTGACCCTGCCTGAGACTGGGTTGGCGCAGTGCCTGTCACACACAGCTCAGCGTGGGCCGGGCAGGCCAGGTCAGTCCTGGGAGACGGGGCTGCTCGGCTCAGGTGAAAAAGTGTAAGGCATAGGAGGCTAAGGTACTATTTTTCTTTCAAATTTTGGATTTTCTTTCAAAAATACTATTCGCCCAGGCATGGGGGTGCACACCTGTCATCCCAGCACTCTGGAGGCTGAGGCAGGACGATGGCCACCTGCTGGAGGCCAGCCTGGACTGCACACTAGCATTCTTGCCACTGATGACTGTGAGAGAAACGCTCACCTGTAAAAGGTGAGGGACGGCTTCACAGACAGGAGCACGAAGGGCACAACTGTGTAGCTGACCACTATCTGCGTCACCGTCCATGTGACGATGTCGTAACACAGCTTGAGCTGGGGCGGCTCCGTGAAGTAATGTCGGAAGTTGGTTCTCATCTGAAACACAGGGCAGAGCAGACTTGCTGTCTCCACAGTAACCTCTCTCCACATCACAGTGGTGACATCAGCAATTCTGAGGGTGTGGAAGGACACTCCCGTGCACAGCTGGTGGGGCCCACACTGCAGGAAAGGCTTGCACATGCATGGAGCGTGTATGTTCACGCACGCACATGTGTGATGGGTGGAAGATGCAAACTGGTGAATCTGGGCCCAGGGCCTTAAGAGCTTATTGTGACTTTTTGTAGTTTTGTGTGTTTTTTTGTTTGTTTTTTGAGACAGTCTCTATATAGCCAGGTTGGCCTAGAACTTGCAGCAATCCTTCTGCCTCAGCCTCCTGAGTACTGAAATGACAGGTATGTGCCACCATGCCCAGCCAAGGCAGGTGACACTGTGCAAGTGCCTCTGTGTGCTGGCCACATGCCCCCACCACCGGCCCCACATGGTGCACGCTTAGCTCTCATACTCACAGCCCGGGCTGCAACAGTCATGAGCACGCCCGTGAGGAAGGTCAGGTAGTAGCCGGGGTACACGCCATGCCAGATGGCGGACAGGAAGAAGGTCTGGATGGTGGGGCTGAAGGATGCTCGCTCGTAACACACCCTGGAGGCAGGGAAGACAGCAGAGTGAGCACCGGCTCTGGGCCAGGCTGCTCTCTGTCCTCTGGCAGCAGTGGGTGGGCAGAGGAGCCTGCCCCCAGCACCAGCCACAACTCTGGCTACAGTCCTGGGGCTGAGCTATTAAGGGTCACATTCAGCAAGAGGAAATTGAATTCCAATTCCTTCCTGGCACACAAAATCACTAAAACACTCATTTTTAGTGTTTGAGAGTCTATACAATTTACAGAAATAAATTTTAATGGATATTAAGGTTTGATTTTTACTCTGCCTTATTTTAATACTTTCTTTGAAAACCCTAGGAACTTTTTCCCCCTTTTTGGTTTTTTTGAGACAGGGTCTTGCTATGCAGTCCAGGTTGGACCTTGAACTTGCAGGAATCCTCCTGCCTCAGCCTCCCGGAGTACGAGGATTCCAAGCATGTGCCACCAGACCTGGCTACAACCCAATCTCTAGCAGAGGAGAGGACAGCAGCAGGGCACGCTGGCAGTGGTCTGAAGGAGGCTGAGGGTACAGGTCAGGACACACCTTTTGAGCCACTGCGCCGTCTGGATGTTCCAGTTATCCAAGAACATCTTGAAACTGGTTGACATCTGAAAAACAAAGGACTCTTCCTCTTTGGCCAACAGAATAAGGGAACTTTAGCTAGAAGTCCTAATGCTTTACTGTGCCAGAAATTAAAACTCTTCTTAGACGAGAAACCCAAAGTATAAATAAATGAAAGCAAAGTTAAAGACAGAAACCGGGAGCAAGATCTCTCGCAAATGAGAAGGGGACCGAGAGGTGGAGGGTGGGGAGGGCAGGGGACATAACAAGAATTGGGGTGTTATGCACCCCACCAGCTGAATGCGATCACTATGAACTGCAAACAGGCACTGATAAAAGTTTTGAAAAGAGAAGAAAACCTAAAAAGTACTTCACATTGATAGAAGTTTTTCCTTTTTTTGAGACAGGGTCTCAGTATGTAGTTCAGGCTGGCTATGGGTGATCCTCCTGCCTCAGCCAAGTGCTGGGATTACAGGCCTGCAGCACCACGCCTGGCTCATTTCTGTTTCTTTAAAACCGTTTTTCTGACACGGTAACACCCTTGCATAGGGAGTTTATTTCCTGTTGGGACAGCAGAAGATAAATGACCGCCACACTTTCTCTGGTTCAGGGTGTTGCAAGGCGGCTGGACAGTCCTGCTAGACCCTGCGTGGCCTGGCAATGGCCGGCCCTCCCGCCGGGGGCAGGCTGGTCTCCAGCGAGGTCTCTGAGCTCTGCCTTCGTCCTTCGAGCAGCGGCCCTGGCACCCCTCAGGTCCCTGGGTAGTGGGAATCAGGGGTCCCCCAGCCCCCCCTGGGAAGGCCACGTGCATTCTCCGTCAGGCCCCAGGACGGCCAGCGGGACTCACTGACCTCTATCTGCCGGATCCTCAGGTTGGACACCAGGTCCCAGCGTGCCTCCCCGTTCCCGTCGTACCCCCGGAAGCCAAAGCCCGCAGCGTTATTGATGGCGTCAGCTAAGCAGGGGAAGAAGGGACAGGACTGAGGACCCGCGCGGCCCACCGTCGCTCCCAAAGGCGGTGCTGTGGCTGTGACATCTGGGAGCCTCAGCCCCGCTGGTCCAGATCTGGAGTCCCCAGGCCCGGGGTGGGGGGCTTCGGGAGGAGGCTGATGGGGCGCAGCTGCGCCTACAGGAAGGACAGGGCCAGAGAGAAGGGCGGGGCCAGTGGGCCCCTCCCCTCCCTCCCCTCCCTCCCCTCCACTTCCTGTCCCCCAAGCCGCGAGCGAGCGCTCTGCTCCCTGAACCTGTGGGCCGCCCTGCCCTGCAGCAGCCAACCATGGACTGCAGCGTCTATAAACTGCCAAAATGAACCTCTCCTCCTTTAATCTGAAGGTATCAGTGATGAGAAGAGGAACTAAGACACAGTCCCCCATTCGACCTTTATCATAAATAAGAACACGTGAGGAGGCATGTGAGCTCGCTTTCCTGAATCACCAGAGCCCTCGCTGCCAAGTCTCCAGCTGTTCCCCACCCGATGTGGCACTGGCGCAACGCAGTACCTTCGCTTTGCTCAGTGAAGCGTCTGCCCCCAATGAACCCTTCCCCCAGGCGGCTGGAAAAGCCCTTCGGCCTATGCTGGTTGTGCCGGGACAAAGAATGAAGAAGCCAAAACCCACCAGAAGCCCAGCACAGTAGCAAACATCTTCAGACTGTTTTACTCTGTTAGTGTTCTTTACTATCACACAGGGCTCTAGAATGATCAGACCCTAAGGAAGAGGAGTGAACACGCAGTTGTTCCTGTGCTGGTGAACTAGGCCAGCAGCCATCGGCCAAATGACTTGAGCTCGAAGTCACAGCAGTGCTCACGTCTAACAGAATCTGAAGTAAAACCTGTTACTAACGCCGCACACCCACGGGACCTCCATGAGGTCTCCACGGTCACCGACTCCCTTGCACCCCATCCATCCCGGCCTCCTGCAGTGTGCTAACTACCTGCTCAGGCCCGAGAGGATCGACCCGGGGAATGCCACGCGGGAAGTCAAACCGGAAGTCACCTTTCACACCCAGTCTCCTGGGTCCCAGACCCTCGGGCAGCTGTGCCCTAGCTGAGCTCCACAGTGCTCCTTGGTGCAGAGGTGAATTCAAATTCGGCTGCCTGTGGTGTAGCCCAGGCTGGCCCTGAACTCAGCAACCCTCCTGCCTCAGTCTCCCAAGTGGTGGAATTATAGGCGTTCACCACCACATCCAACTCATTCATGGATTCTTACCACATAACACAGCAGGCTTTGATTCAGTTTTAGGGTTATTTTTACACACTGAGCTGTGGGGGTTTGCTTCTTCTACACGTAAGTCTTTAACTGGACATCCTCCAGAGGGCGCTCATGAGCCAGAGGGCGGTGGTGCTGGCCGGCAGCGCCCCTACTGGGGACGCTGAAACAGGCGAATCCCTGAGCCCAGGAGTTCAAGGCCAGCCTGGCCAACACAGGGAGTTCCCACCACAAAAATTAACAGCAGCAAGACAACTGCGGGGGCTCTCACAGCCACTTCGAAGGGAGACAACCCCCACACAGCAGAGGTCACTTACCTAAGGTCCAGGCAAAGTAGTACTTGGGCCGAGCGGCCAGCAGAGACACGTACAGATAGGCCACCCTGGTCGGCCAGGAGGCCGTGGCCCGGAACTGCTCGTCGATGTTGTAGTCCACGGGCAGTGCACTGCAGACGGTCAGGTGCACCAGCAGGGACAGCACACACACCAGCAGCTTCTGCGTCACGGCCGCCTGCGGGCAGGCGAGGTCACTGTCAGCTGTGACGGGCACCCACCGGCTGCCCTTCCACGGTTCGCCGTGTTGAGAAGACATAAGGTCCGCACTCTTTGTGTGGGGTTGGTGCATAGATTCAACACATCCATCGTATATGTGCCTTTATCCCCCTCCACCCGCTCTGAGAAAGATCCATCTCCCTACTTCCTATTATCTATCTTTTATTTTGCTCTTTATAAATGGGGCTTCTCTTTTTCTTTTTCCTTTTCTTTTGGTACTGGGGATCGAACTCGGGTCCTTGCACTTGCGAGGCAGGCGGCGGAACCACTGAGCTAAATCCCGGCCCGGGGCTTCTCGTATAAGGGAAACCATGTGATATTTGAGCTTGTGTGTCTGATTTATTTCACTGGACGTTATGGTCTCAAAGTGCATTCATTTTCCTACAAATGACTCAAGTTTATCCTTCTTTATGGCAGTGTAGCATTCCACTGTGTGTAAATACCGCCCTTTCTTTGTATCTGTTGATGGACATTCAGGCCACTTCCAAGACGTATGGTACGCGTGGGTCACTGTAGCAGTCTCTAACTCTCTCAGGGAGATAACAGGAGAATCCCTTCCCGTGCTTTTTAGGCACTGCCCTAGATGCATCTTCCTGTATGTAGCATCAGCCCCCAAACCCTCCTGGCCGAAGAATAAATACGTAAAACTCAGGAGCCTCAGTGCACTGGCACCTCGCTCTCCAGGCTGGATCACACAGCACAGGCAAGAAGAGCCTGGGCACTTGGCTGGCTCAACCCCGGGCGGAGGGACTGCTTGGTACTCCACACGACACAGCATTATATTCTTCAAGGACTCAGTTTCTAAATACCTCCCCCACCACGGTACTGGGGATTGAACCCAGAGCCTTTGCAGTGAGCGACATCCCAGCCCTTTCTCATTTTTTACTTTGAGGCAGGGTCTCACTAAGTCACTAAATTCCCCAGGCGGAGCTCAATCTCCTCCTGCCTCAGTCTCCCAGAGTGCTGAGATTTCAGGCGAGGACCACCGTGCCCCACTGCTGGTCCTTAGTCATGTTTGCACTTTTAGTGTGCAGCACTAGGAGAGAGTGTGGAGTTGGTATCCTGGAAAGACAGCTGGGGAAATTCTGCGTGTGAACGCAAATAGCTAGGAGCGAGAAAGGCGCGGCCAGGAAGGCTGGGAAGCGTGCACGCACATGCGCACACGCACCTTTGGGGAAGGATCTGCTCGCTCCCACGGCGCCGCCTCCTTCCCGCTGTGCCCCGGCTGTGCCCTGTGGTGCGCCCGGCCCTCGATGAACGTGACGTAGTCCTTGTAGGAGCACAGTGGGCCTGCCAGGATGCCCATGAAGTTACAAGTGTAGCTCACGTACTCCAGGAGGCTGGGCATGCGCCTGCAACAGAGACCGCAGCTCAGGGCCCGGGACAAGCGGGCGTGGTGGGGCGTGCCTGTAACCCCAGTGCTGGGGAAGCCAAAGCAGGTGGATTGCAAGTTCAAATCCAGCCTGAGCAACTCAGCAAAATCCTGTCTCAAAAACAGAAAATGAAAGAGGGGGAGGGGATGTAGCTCAGTGCGAAGCCCCGGCTTCAATCCCCAGTACTGCCCCCTCACCAAAGATAGAAAGTTGCACCAAATAACCAATCGTGTGCCCGTTAAACTCCAGGGCCCAAGCACACAGCAGTGAACAAAAGAGGAGGGAAATTCTGCGGCAGGGAGCTCACAGAGGATGCTAGGGGGGCGCCTCTTGGGAAGGCCTGGGTGGGCTGGGGAGGGACTGGTGACCAGGATCTGGGCAGAGGCAAAGACGAACACAGGGCGCTGCATGGGGATGGCCCCGCCATGCAGGTCGGAGCAGGAGGAAAAGTGGGGCTGGGGCCGTCCTATGGGGCTGCATAACAGCCATGGTAGGAACTGTGCGTTTTATTCTGAATGAGATGAAACGCCACAGTAAGGCTTCTTGTATTTTGAGACAGGGTTTCGCTACGTCACTGAGCTGGCCTTGAACTTTCTATGTAGCCCAGGCTGGCCTTGAACTCGAGATCCTCCTGCCTCAGCTTCCTGAGTGCTGCGATGACAGGTGTGTGCCTCCACACCTGGCTCAAAACCTTTTTGACTCCTCTGTCCTGAATTCCATCCAGATGGCACACGGCATCGCAAGTTTATCAAGCATGCAAGAGATAGGTAAAAATGGCTCACAGCATAAAAGACCACGCAGGCTACATGTGTGGCCAATGGGTGGACCGTGTGTGTGTTTATTCTTCTAAACCAGCTCCCTTAACCGAGTCTGCCGTCCCTATCTGCTGCCCACTGTCCCTCCTGGGGATGCAGCTCACAGCCCCGAGCTCCTCTCCAGCTGTGTGCACACTCCCAGAGGAGCTGAGAGCACTTCAGAGTATGGGCCATGAGTCTGACTTTTAAATGGCTAAAGAACACCCCAAGGCTCCCAGCTGCCCTCTTCCACTGCCCATGTAAACACCTCACTGAATTGTCTATGTTTCCCAGGGTTACTTTTCTACACATCAGCGTGCCGAGTGGTCTCCTGGTCTCCTCCTCTTCAGCACTGCCTGGCATGTGGGGTGACTGGAAGGACAAAGGAGCCCCTTGTCCTACAGACACTGGCCCCACTCTGAACACCAAGATTTCCAGGCCCAAAACGAGGTCAGATTACATGGCTTGGCCCAATCTTACCAAGTAAATGATGTATCAAACTTTGCAAGGACACAAAATCATTCTTTTATATTTTGTTTTTTTCACACAGGGTCTCGCTAGGTAGTCCAGGCTGGCCTTGAACTCACCATGTAGCCCAGGCTGGTCTCAAACTGGCAGTGATCCTCCTGCCTCAGCCTCCCAAGTGCTGGAATGACAGGTGTGAGCCACCACAGTTGGCTCAAAAATAGAGTATCTTTAAAGACGGGGAAAATCTAAGAAAAGTCCCAAGACCTGCTGGCTGGGATCCAGGTCTGAGTATGGTTGCAGTGTCCTTCTCCTAGCAGCTGTGTGGTTATCAGTCCTGTATTTAGAAACAAGGTACTCAAAGGAGAGGTTTCTTTAAGGGTAACGAGTATCTGATCTCTGTATCAGAGGGAGGCCGAGTTCCTACATAAATGGGGAGATCTTGCCTCGGAATGGGCCCCTTGATCACAACAGTGCTGACTGAGTAGTCATCTGTTACTTCACAACAGGGTCTGTAGGCGGCATCAGTGCTCTCCGTCCTGGCCAAGAGCTCCACAGGCAAGTCTGTCCCAGGGCCACTGTCACTGCCGTTTCTTCCCAGCAGACACAAGACCTCCGAGTCGGAGCAGAACTCTGACAGACCGGCAGCTCACAGGGGGTACCCTATGTACAATACCACAGGCAAGATTCTGGGGTCCCCACAAGGGACGCCCCACCTCGCACAGCAAGATTTGGTAGCCAAGGAGTGGTGACATGAAGCTGGCGCCTATAATCCCAGCACAGGGGAGGCTAGACGAGAGGTTCGCCATGAGTACAAGGCCTGCCTGCACTACAAACAGTGAGATGGTCACAAAAAACTCAACAAGACCTGGCGGCAAGAGGTCTGCAGAGCAAGGCCTGGGGTCACAAGCTGAACCAAAGAGGACTTCACTGTGTGGGGTGGGCAATGTGCATCCCAGATAGAGGGCAGGGCGACAGCAGCACGGAACAGCGACACCTACCTCACGGCGAGCCCTCGCTGGGATGGGGTCAGGTCTTCATCCTTCCGAAACATCCCTGTAAGTCGAGAAAGGGGAGTCCTGAGAGCGAGGTTCTGCCGCGCCAGCACTGGGAACCAAACCTAGGGCCTTCGCACTGAGCTCCATCCCTGCATCTCCTTTCGTTGTTTTTTATCTTATTATCCCCACATCTTCCGGTTTTTATTTTATTTTTATCTCACTAAGTTGCTGAGTTGCCCAGGCTGGGCTCCAGTTTGCAGTCCTCCTGCCTCAGCCCCCCAGAGTGCTGGGATCACAGGTGTGCGTCAACACACCTGGCTGCTGGTAGTTTTCTAAATTCACAAATTTCTTTTCCTTAACAGTAAATGCTATACTTTTCAAAAATAGGTATTACAGGTTTTTGAGTTCTGGGAGATTTAAATGACTAAACTCCAGTACTGTGGACTACAAGCTCAGTGTGAAGTGAGGGCAGGCCGCCTCCTCCTGCGTGGCTCTGAGAGTGGGCACTGAACTTGGGTGTCACACCCTGCATGTCTACACCTTCTCCTCCCAGGCAGGAGGTGGTGACCAAAGCCACGTGCTGGCTTTCTTTAGCCATGTGCAACAGTCACTCTTTTCTGTAATTTATATGCACATAAAACAGAGAAGAAAACTATTAGTGCCTCAAAATGTCCCCAGAAGCCAGGTGTGGCGGCACACCCCTGTCATCTCTGCACTCGGAGGCTGGGGCGGGAGGATCAGGATCGCCATGAGTTCAAGGCCACCCTGGGCTACATATTGAGTTCAATTAGCAAGACCCTGTCTCAAAAAAAAAAAAAAAAAAAAAGTGCCCCAGGAACTGTTCTAGGGGTTGAAGAAAAATAAATTCTCTCCTTTTTGGCACTTGTAATTCTAGAGTAGGGAAAGAATATAAGTAAACAAACGAGCACCAGAGGAATTCGAATCATCTGTAAACCTGTGTGACACAACACCCTCAGCCCCACCCTAGGCCACGGGTCAGGGTGTGACCTGAAGTTCACCGGTCATCACAGTCTTTCACACAGCACAAAAGAAACCCACGTCCGGGCAGCCAGGCACTGGGAGGCACTGCCCCTCTCGGGTGCAGCAGAAGGGCAGCACTTGAGAAGGGCACTCGGCCCCCAGAGTGGACAGGGACACGGCCTCCTTACCCTTCTCTGTGCTGTTCCAGCTCCCCGGGTTGGGGGGGCATGTGTCCACTCACTGTAATCAGAAGGAAGCAAAACCCACTTAAAGAAGAGGGGCGGATACAACTTCCTAACAAGCCCACTGAGAGGACACAAGGACCCCATTCTTCTCTTCCACTCCCTGTTACTGTTTCTCTCAGGCTTCCTGCTGTGAGCTTTGCTACATATAAAATGCCGCTGCTTTCTACAGGGTCCACTGCTCAGGGCTGGGTGCAGGTGCTGACCACACAGGCTGGGCTTTCAGAGCTGCAAAGCACCCAACAGGCCCAGGTGCCTCCCGGTCCAAAACCTGGGGACTTAGGCAAAGAATGACCAAAACTAGACTATGCACAAGATGCCACTGGGTTTTGGTGGTGGTGGTATTTTTTTAAGGCAAGGTCCTTCCTGCCTCAGCCTCCTGAGTGCTGGATTTACAGGATGCCATTTTTTAAAGCTAGTAGTTTAATCAAGTGCAGACAATGCAGCCCGGCATATGAGGGGAAGCAGGACCCCCCATATCTCATCAGGCACAAGCACCACACACATCACGACACTGTGAGAGGCAGGCAAGTCACGTATCCTGAGACAGACTGCTGGTGAGCCAGCACCAGTGCTCGGCCCAGCACCAGAGGAGAAGTCTCAAACCAAGCCTAGAAAACCCCAGGTAGCCAGGTGTGGTGGTGCACACCTGTGATCCCAGCACTCGGGAGGCTGAGGCAGGAGGATGCCACAAATTCAGGCTGAGTTCAAGGCCAGCCTGTACAGCACAGCAAAACTGTTTCAAAGATCAAAGAAATAAAACTAACTAAATAAGAACTTCTCTGAAATATTAAAGGTTCAGAATTCTTAAAGACACTGCCACAGCGAATCAAAACCCGAACTGGGGCCAGGGATTTAGCTCAGTGGTTCCACCACCTGTTTCGAAAGCCAAAGACCAGAGTTCGATCCCCGGCACCAAAAAAACAAAAAACAAAAAACAAACCCCAACTGTTCTGAAGAGAAAACTCCCCTCACCCTGCTGGGGACGGCAGGTCCCAACCAAGACTCTGCTGGCCTTGAGCTGAGCTTTTCTATGCAGGCACTGCCGCACCCAGCCCTATGGATGGCGTCACGGCTCTACCCTCGACTGCCAGTCCCCAATGCCAGGCAGGTTGGACACCTAAGAACCCTGAGCTCTTCCTTAGCACCCCAGTACCAGGACAGCGCAGATGGGGACAGCTCGCAGAGCCCTCCAGGTGGTCACCCTGTGAGCTCACGGAGGGCACCAGAGCAGGAGCAGAGGCCCCTGGCCTGCACCCAAGAGCAGGCGCCGCAGGGGTCCTGTGGCGGGGAGTGGTCTGCTCTGAGTCCCCGGGCCACATCAGGGCTGCACAAGCCCTTAGTGAGCAGGGTCCTGAGATTTCCTTTCTGTTTCTTTGAGACAGGGTCTCACTATGTAGCCCAGGCTGGCCTCGAGCTCACAGCGATCCTCCTGCCTCAGCCTCCCAAGTGCTAGGATTACAGGTTTGCACCACCACGCCCGGCTCTGAACAAATTCTAGAGGAGTTTTAAGGTAATCAATCTTTTCCTCCATTCTCTGAAAAAAACGAGGCAGTCAATTCTTTCACTTGTCAGTAGCAAAAGGAAGAAGAGGAAAAAAACCCTCCCTTTCTTCACAAGTATCACAGAACACAAGGTTGTGGGCTACCTCAAGCGAAAGATTATCTGGACAGAAAAACTAGTTTCAGAGCTCTTACCATCATGGATTTCACAGGCCAAACTCGTGATCTTCTGAGTAATGATCATCATTGGGCTGTGACGAGACAAACACAGGAAGTTAGAACAAAGCTGCAACTGATGGAAGTTTCCGAAGTGAAAATACTCATCTGTTTTTACTCTTGTCTTTTTGAGACAGGCTCTTGCTATGTAGCCTAGGCTGGCCTCAAACTCAGTGACCCTCCTGCCTCAGCCTCCTGAGTGCTAGGATCACAGGTGAGAGCCACCACACCCACTCCAAGTATTCTTTGTACACAAACAGCTGGACCCATGGCAGCTCCCGCTACCCGACGCCCAGTGCAGTGCGTGAGACCGGGGAAAGAGGCCCCTGGCCCGCACGCCCCCACTGTGCCAGCCCTGGCTCAGGTGCAGGACAAAGTGCCGGGCAACCAAGGCCTCAGTGTCATGGGCTGGTGGGGCACAGATTCCAGACAGCGGGCATTGCTTCAGTGTTGCTGGGCCAGTGAGTGACAGAAGCCAGCCGGGGGGAAGGAGTGGGGCACATGTGAGCAGAGGCAGGAGCCTGGGGCATGGCTGAGGGGCCGGGCACCAAGGGAGAAGGGGGAGATTGGGGTGGGGCAGCCAGGCGGCTCTGCAGGCCAGGTGGGGTCTCTCTGGCTCGGGACCAGAGGCCACCATGGTCGGGGCCCAGGCAGCCCAGGAGGAGGGATGCGGGAGCCGCAGGGGAGCTGAGCACGGGGCTAGTGTGTTGGGTGCCAGCAGGGTGCTCATGGGAGCCAGGCATGGTGGGCACAGCAGGGAGAATGAGTCAGGAGGATCACCGAGAGCTCAGACCAGCCTGGACTACACAGCCAGATGCTGCCTACCAAACCCACAATAAAAATCACCCTGAGGCCACTGCTGCCTGAAGCTGCTTTCTATCCAGAGCATAGACAAGCAGGTCAAGGATGGAGGCAGCCCCGGATCCTTGCCCTGCTCCCTGATGCCCATGGTGAACCCAGTGTGAACGTGGGAGACGGGGATTCCAGACCAGCAACCAAGCTTCACCCTGTGCCGCCCACAGCAGATGTGGGCACAGGTGGGGCAGTTTCCAGGATTCGCACCCCTGACCAGCTCAGGGCCTGGCAGGGTCATAGCACAGGGAGCACCCGGCTCCCAGGAGGGAGGGAGGGCCTGGGAGAAGCTAGGGATGTCCCCCTGCCGCCACTGCTGACAGCTGTGTGGGAGAGAGATGAACAGAGACAGAGAGACAAAGACAGAGACAGAGAGAGACAGAGACACAGAAAGAGAGAGAGAAAGAGGGAGAGCGGGAGAGAGACAGAGAGAGAAGGAGGGGGAGAGAGAGAGAGAGAGGCAGACAGACACAGAGAGGGAGAGAGACAGAGAGAAAGGAAGGGAGAGATGGAGAGGGAGAGAGAGAGGAGAACAGGAACGAAGGCTCTCAGGGCTGGCTTTCAGTAATCACAGATGACTGCTGAAGTCTCTGGCAGAATTACGAAATGCTCTCAATACCAGAATGTCGGAGAAATGTCACTGCTATATTGTTTTAGAAATTTTATATAAGACAAAGTAAAAGCATGGGTTATTTTTGTGACATACATAATTATAAAAGACCAATTACAAGAGGAAAAAAGTCTAAAATCACAAAGAAGTTTTGAACTAAAATGGAGGAAAAGCTCTTGCCGGCAGTCTGACTTGCTCCCATTTTGGGTTTTAGCCACTGTTAGGGGAGACTAAGCAGGCAACAGAGTCACAGTTCCAGTCTTACCCTGAAAAATCCGCAGAATACTGTCCATAATCAAAGATGTAGACCCTGGTGATCTGGCACACTGTGAGGTATCCCAGAGCGAACACGAAACAGTATCTGGAAGACAAAGTAAGCTGCACTGGTGAAAAGAGAAGATTAATTTTGCTTTGGTTTTCGTTCTGGTTTTGTTTATGAGGCAGGGTCTCACTCTGTACTCCAACCTGGCCTTGAACTCACTATGTAGCCCAGGATGGCACTGAACTCTCGAGATCCCTGCCTCAGCCTCCCAAACGCTGGATTACGGGCGTATGTAACCACACCCTGCCTGACATCTACCTTTGAGTGGGAATGCTTTCCCTCCATTCTACCACTGAGAAGGGATTTCTGCTCTCTGCAGCCAAAAGCACCCTGACATCATTACTACTATTATCAAAATGAAGAAAGTGACAAAGAATTCCAGAACAGTATGTTTTCTTACTCATTAAAAACAAATGTTGGGGCCGGGGATGTAGCTCAGTGGTGCTGCAGCCTGCCTTGCAAGCTCAAGGTCCTCAGTTCGATCCCCAGTACCAAAAAAACCCCAAACAAACAAAAAAACAAACAAATGTTCAATTTTTTTCAAACAACTGGTTTCAGAAGGTAAAATCACACCTGCAATGCATATTCATTTCGGCACTAGACACAGGGCAAACTGTCCCGGGGAACCAAGGTGTGTGGGATAACAGGAATCCATGAACTAGAAACGCATGGGGCAGCCTCTCACAGGAAAAGATAGCATTTGCCATAAATCGTGCTGGGACAACCGGATAAGCAGATGAAGCAAAATGAGCATCAATCCTTACATCATGACACACAGAAAAATTAACCCAAAAGCCAGGTGTGGTGGTGCACACCTGTGATCCCAGCACATGAGAGGCTGAGGCAGGAGGAATGCGGTGAGTTCAAGGCCAGCCTGGGCTACACAGCAAGACCCTCTCTCAAAAATAACAACAGCAACAAATTAACTCAATATGGATTGCTGATTTATGCATAAAAACTAAAACTATAAAACCTCTACAAGAAAATATTAACCTTAGGGTGGGCAAAAATTTCTTAGAGAAGACAAACTATAATTTTTTTAAAAAATTGCTAAACTGACGTCATCAAAATTGAAAAGTTCTGCTCTTCCAAATCCATCCCTGAGAAAATGAAAAGACAAACTACAGATTAAAAGACATTTTCCATAACTCAGCAAACTGACAAAGGACTGATATCCAAAATACAGAAAGACTGAAGTGTAATAAAAAAGCCCCATAACCGAAAGATTTGCCCCAAAAGATATAGTCAGTCAAGACACAGAAAGCCGAATGGCACCATTAATCACCAGATTAATCATCATTGATCACCAATCTCTAATTGAAGGTCACGAGACCCTTCTACAGGCCCAGCCTGCAGTCTGTCCCGGGCCCCAGTGCCTGTGTCCAAGGTCCAGCCCATGCTCTTCTCTGCTGAGTTCATTTGCTTTCTCCACTCTTGGAGCAGCAGGACACAGGCGCTGGGGCCCAGCGCAGTCGCAGGCAGGGCCTGGGCTCCCTGCCAGGCAGCAACAGCATCACAGGAAGGACGTGCTCCCAACCCAGGGGTGATGAGCAGTACAGTGCGATTTCAGCCGGCGACCGTCCCACCATGGGGAGACAGGTTTACCTGCATCAAGCACTTTTCAATTATCCAGGCATGGCAGACGCTTTCTAACATGTGGCTCAAGAGAGACATGGGCTCAGAGCAAGCAACATAAATGCATGCCTATGTTAGCCTCATATGGAAATATGCAGGTGCCTGTAACCCAGCACTCGGGAGCAGGGGCAGAAGGACCGCATGAGTTCCTGGGTTGCACAGTGAGACCCTGTCTCAAAAAATAAACAAAAGCATATGAAAAAGTTTCGAACTAATCATTCTTTTGATGCAGGAAAGAGAATGGATTCACAGAGCAGGGAGCTTTCAGATGCTAAACACTACTTCGGAAAGGAGGAGAAGCCCCGGCTGCCCAGGACAAGGGCACTGACCAGGAGGAGGAGCAAATGCGCCTAGTGCAGCACCTGTGTGCCTCCGGCCAGCAGGAAAAGAGCTGAGTTTAGGGCACAGGCAAAAAGCCTCTGAGACAGTAGCAGCAGACAAGATCCTCGGCCCCAACTGGCTCCTCCTTGGGCTCCTTGCAAATGGGGTTTCGGGGTTCACAGTCACGGCCATGCCTCGCACCTCTCCACTCAGGGAAGGGACACCAGCGATGGAAAGCAGAGCAGAGCACTGGCCTGCACCCCAGCTTTGTTGGTGTATATTGCCTATAACTTCTCACTCAGTCTAAATTCTACTTTTAGAATTTAATGTACACTAAGTAATCTCACCTTCCTTTTTTTTCACAGTGGAAATACTTTTTGCTATTTAGGAGGAGCAGAAAGGGAAAGGAACAGGTTAATTCCTTAACCAAACCCTCAGGTTTTACTAAGCAAAGAAAACGTGGTCAGCTTTTGTGTTTTTGGTAGTACTGAGGATTGAACAGGGCCTTTGCACTGCCCTCTTTTAAATTTTGAAACAGGGTCTTGATAAGTTGGCCAGGGTGGGCTCCAACCCAAAGTCCTGCCTCAACCTCCCTATGCTGGGATTTCAGACAGGCGCCACCACAACCAGCTCACTGCATCTTAGCTGCATCGAGGCCATGTGGAGAGAGCAGCCATCCCATGTGGCCAGGGTCAGCTCTGATGCTGGTCACAGGTGACAGCAGGGTGTCCTTGGGTTTCTTTCCCCTCCTTAACCTATGGCTGCCTTTTTCGTTTTGTTTTTAAACCAAGAATCAGATTACTTTGCATATTACTTAATGGCTTGCTCTTTTCACCTAATCATCTCCACTTTTCCGAGTTAGGAAAATTTCATCTTCGTCTTCATTCCCCAGTTGCAGCTTCCCTCCTAGCCACTTCGGTGACCCAGGACCCGCCCCGCGCCTGGCTGCTCCATGCCTCCTCCTTCAGGGTCACACAGCCTGCCCCCCAGGACTTGGATTTGTTGTTGCTGACACAGGTCTACACTGCCCTGAATTCTGTGTCAAACACGGGCCAGAGAGCAGGAAGGAGAAGCTCTGAGGTCCCCCATCCTGGCCACATTTGGTCTCTCCTGGAATCATGCACTGTCCTCAGTGAGGGTCACTGTCCCAGAGCTCCCGGGGAAACACTAAGAAGTAACTGGCCCCATGGGACAAACTGTCACTGGCGGTTTGAGGTTCCGAGGTCCCCTTGCTGCTAGCAGAGTCCAAGGCTGCAACACCGACACTGGGTCCCGATCTGGGAGCCGCAGGGCAGGAGTCCTGCAGGACAGCGGACAGACAGCGAATTCGGTTCCAGTTCCACCTACCCTGCAGGCCACAAGAACGGACGGAGTCGACCCTGCCTCTGTCCCACCCGGCAGGCACTGTGCCTGCTCCCTGGGCTCAAGGGACGCAGAGGAGGAGAAGCCTATGGCAGGGCAGAGCCCACGGCACCTCAGAGCCTACCCGGAAACCAGAAAGCAGCCCAGCCAGGTGTCCAGAGATGGCCCAGGTGAGCCAAGCTGCCTGAGATTGCCATCCTCCCTGAGGCTCGGGGACAATGCAGACACGGGGAACATCAGCCAAGGCGGTGCAGCTGAGCCAAGGGCCAGGAGGTGGCAATGGAAACCACTCTCTTCCTACTCCACGACCGCAGCGTGATGGCGCCCCCTGACGTCCTGCAGGGTCTTCTCCGGGCCAGTTATTATGTTAAAAATGACTCCAGGCTGTAAAGAAAGTATTTCAGCTCAACTTCCTCAGGCCGAGGGGCTCTCCGCTCTTCCTGTTCGAACTACACACTGCTGCTGTTCATGCTGAGCTAACAGCAGTTCCCTTGTGCTGGCCTCCAAAACTCTCAGGCCAGTTTTGAGAACTCAAAACAAATTTTTTTCCCATAGAATGGCTAAAGAACAGCAACAAAAAAACCAAAATGAGGGAAGGGTGCTCGGGTTCCCATGCCCATCCACAAAAGCTCATTGAGTTGCTGGATGACTCGGACACCGCCCCCCCCCGCAGTGCAGCTGATATGGTTGAGTCTGAAGTGGCCCATGAAGGGTATTGGTTCAAGGCTGGGTCCCCAGGGCCGAGATGTTTGGAGGGGACTCTCAGGAAGGGACGAGGGGGCCTCTGACCTTGGCCATGCATTCACCTGTTCACAGTCTCATAATTCTATCCATGCACGTTTGCAGTCCACACTGAGCACACTCGTGGTGGGGAGCTGGTCTATGTGCGTGCTGCACCTCAGTCCTTTTCACCTGTCCTTCCCACTCCTCCATTCCGAGGTCCCCTTCCCGTCTTCAAAAGACCCCCTCCTGCTTCTGATTATCCACGCTTTATTTGGCTCTTTCATTTACTTATACTTGATATTTAAGCTTGTGTGTCCGATTCATTTCACTTAGCATTATGGTCTCCAGGTGCATCCATTTTCCTACAGAAGACTCTTTAAGTTTAACCTTCTTTACGGTGAGTAGTACTCCATTGTATGCAGATGCCACAGTTCCTTTATGCACTCATTTGCTGATGGACATTCAGGCCCGTTCCAGGATTTAGCTCTCGTTTGTGCGGGTGTTCGTGGGCCAATGTTTGTGATGTCATTAACTCCCTCGGGAAGACCCCTGAAGGAGGTGCAGCTGATGGATGTATAACTTGGTGGTTGCAGGTGGCACTCAGGGTGGAGCCTGGCTGAGGAGTGTGGGTCCTGGGGTGTGTCCGTGATGCTGACCCTCAGCCCTTCCCCTCTGGCTCCCTTGCCCTCCACCTCCTGTCTGCCACACCTCAAGCAGCTCCTCCACTGCCAGCCCCTCTGCCACACTGCCCTGCCTCAGGGCCAGCCGACTATGGACTAGAACACGACCCCAAATAAACCTCACTTCCTTTAAGTTGAGGGTTCTTATTATTTATTTATTTTGGTGTTTTGAGACAGGGTCTTGCTATGTAGCCCAGCCTGGCCTCGGACTCAGTGATCCTCCTGGCTCAGCCTCCCCGGTGCTGGATTATAGCACCACCACACCCAGCTCTGATCCAATTCTACCAAATCAGAACCCACCCTGGTGAGTGAACAAGGGATACTCACTTGTGCATGCTCTCCACTCCTGTGACAATCATGATGCAGTAGGAAATCCCACTTTGTACGAGAAAATGTAAGGCATACCTACAGAAAGCACAGATATTGTTAGAAGTCACAGACATCAAATTTAAATAAGTTAGGCTAAAAAGTACTCAAATACAACCTAAAATATTCCCAGATATAAAATAAGGAATAAAAGGAGCCAGGCATGGTGGCATATGCCTGCAATCCCAGCACTTGGGTGGCTGAGGCAGGAAGATCTCTGAGTTCAAGGCCACCCTGAATTACACAGTGAGATGCTGTCTCAAAAAACCTAAAACAGGGCTGGGGATTTAGCTCATCAGTTTCACCGACTGCTGCGCAAGCGCAAGGACCCGAGTTTAATCCCCAGTACCAAAAAACCAAAAAAAAAACAAACCACAAAACAGAAATTAAAACCCTAAACCCTAAATAAAACTCTGGGAACACCCTAGAGAGGGATTCCAGATGCAGGACATAGCCCTAGGAGGGCTGGGAAAGTGAAGCCAATCTGGCGCCCCAGCACTCCCCGTCACCTAGCAACAGAAGGCACGTGGGTTATGGGCTGGGGATCACAGCTTTCTTCATAACTCTCAGCAAGGGTGAAACAAAGGTGTGACAAATGCGGTTTCAGCAGTCCTGAGGAGAAGAGTTACTTTCCCCAAACTAACTTCGGCACTTCCAGCCAGCTGTGGGCCCTGCTCTACCCTCTTGGTGGCAGCACTCAGCGAGCAACAGGGAGGGCTGAGTTTCTAACTGACCAGAGAGGAGGGTCCCCAATCCTTTCTCAAGTCAAATGAACTTCCTGCATAAACCTTTTCCTTAACTTGCTGAGAGACATCTCTGAGACAGTCTCAGCTTACACGCCCCAGTGCTTTTAATGTCCTAATGCAGAATCATTAAGGAGAAAATTAATTTATTCATTCATGTCACAACATTTGGGCAAAGATGATCAGGATCTCTGGGATTAAAATCAATCTAAACCTCCCTGAGATTATGCACATATGTAAGAGTCTTTCTCTCCCTCCCTCCCTCCCTCTCCACTCAATTTTCTTTCTACTTTCCTGGCATAAAAAATTTACAATAGAAATTTCAAATCATTGTGTAAACTGTAAACTATTCATGAGGATCTTAACCTATGATTATAATTACTTTCTAACTTAATCATTATGGAAAAATAGACACTTCCCCTGGGGAAAAGGAATCTGACATCTCCAACCCATTTTTCCATTGATCTATTATACATAAGGAGTGGGCCACAGGTCTAGCCAGGAAGAAATGACTTCCCCCAGGGCAGGGCAGGACAGCTGCCTCCCCCAGCCCTGACACACACACACACACACACACACACGCACGCACGCACGCACACACGCACACATGAGGTACTCTGCTGGCCCACAGTGCTGCTGTAATAAGAGGGCCAGGAGGTGCCAGAGAGGCCACACATGATGGAAGCAGAGGGAGTTAAAAAAAAAAAATTGAAGCCAGATGTGATGGCCTATGGCTGTAATCCCAGCACTCAGGAGGCTGAGGCAGGAGGACTGCTGCGAGTTCAAGGCCAGCCTGAACTATACAGCAAGACCCTGTCTCAAAAAGAGAAAAAAGCCCTGATGAAAATATACTTTCAAAATTAATTTTCCACTTCCTATTTATTGCCAGGGCTAAAAATTCACTAGACTTGATATGAATGTGTCGAAGGGAATGGTAGATACTTTTAGGCGCTTTTAAAATTGAGAGAATTCATTAAAAGTATTTATCTTAAACAAGAAAAAAATGTTTCAGTACTCAGGGAATTTTTCTTTTTTCTTTTCTGAGTAACTGCTAGGGCCGGGAGACAAGGACGCTCTGGATGCTCACAGGCGCTTCTCCCCACCCCAGGGCGCCCCAGTGGCTTCATGGCCAGCTCCAGTGGCCTTGGCCCCCATGGGGGCCACACCACAGCCACACCCTGATTGTACTTCACCGGGAAGCTGGCTCCCCGCCTCCCCAGTGGGCACAAGTGCCCGCCCCCCAGGCCCTCCCTAGTGATCCAGGCACCAGAAAAGCAGAGTGGCCACTTCAGCCCCCAACTGCAACTGATAAGGTAAAAGTCAGGTAGGAAGCGTGAAGGTGCCCACTTACCCTCGGCTGCTCCCTCATGGGAGGGCAGGGCGAGGTGTTCCGTGGTCACTGACAATAAAACACTGCTCTGCCCCAACTTCCACTTACTTTCAGACAACACATTTTACTTGGAATCCAAACAACAATAAAGGCAGGTACAAGGTTAGTTCTTACAGGAGAGACCACACGTTAAGTTCTGATTGTTCAGCTCGTCCTTCCTGAAGGCCTCTTTTGGTCAGTGCTGGGGCTTGAACCCAGGGCCTTGGGCTTGCTAGGCAAGCCCTGCACCATTGCACTGTAGCCGGCACTGGTGACCACTTCCTGGAAACCTCTGTACTGGACACCGGAAGGGCACCAGCCACAGAGACAACAAGAAGCAGGCTCCTCCGTGCTCTGGGACAGACACTGGCAACGAGAAGGATCCCAGAGACTGCCCGTGGGGATCCCCAGGGCATGATTAACGGCCAGCACCCAAGTTAGAGCCTTCTAGACTGTGGATTAGAGACATTCATCCGGCAAAGCCCAAGCAAATATTCCCAAGTCTGGAAAACTCGAAACTGGAAACACATCTGATCCAAGCTCCTCAAGTCTGCACTGTGTGTGTTTGCCCGGCCCTGGGACAGAGGAGGAGTTAGGAAGGAAGAAATAACAGGTCTCCCGGCACAGAGCAGCCTGGGAAGGGCACCCCTGGATCCAGAGCTGCCTGACCTCAGAGTCACATACGACTATAATGTGAGAAAGATATTTAAATAAAGAAGGTACAATTATAAGTTACCTCTCCATTAAAACAAACTTGCAGGAGATAGTTTAAGAGAAGATTGAAACCAAATAGAAGTCGATAACATTTGCCAAGCATGGTGGCACACAGCTACAATCCCAGGTCTTGGGAGGTTGAAGTAGGAAGATCACCACTAGTTAAGAGGCCAGCCTGGGCTACACAGAGAGTTCAAGGCTAGTCTAAACTACAGAGCAAGGCCCTGTCTAAAAAACCAAAAGAAGAAGAAGAAGCAGCAGCACTGGTGTAGGGCTGGGCAGTGACTCAGTGAGACAGCGCTTGCCTCGTCCGCGAGGCCCCGGCTTGATCCCCAGCACTGCAGAAAGAAACAGCGTGTGTCCCAGCCCTCCTCAGAGATCAGATACCACCAAGGCACACAGAGGCCTTATCAGAGCCCCACAGGCTCCCGCCCTCCAATTGAAGCTGCCAGGGCGGAGCTCTTCCCTCCAGGTCCTCCACTAAGAATGAACCAAACCCTTTCTTTCTTTACTAATGGGAGAATCTAAAGAATGATAAAACACTTTTATCCATGGCCTTTGCCAGACTCTTAACCGATACTTACATACGGAAAGAAAATAAAACCTGGGCCCGGGATGCAGCTCAGTGGCACAGGGCCTGCCTCGCAAGCGCAAGGTTCTGAGTTCGTTCCCCAGTACCAGGGAAAAAAATCGCCAAACCAGCACACAAAGGTCAACCACCTACCCAAAAACTCCATTTAAAATAAAATCTTTTATGTCTTGGCAATCAAGATTTGCAAAATAGGTGCAAAGAACTCAGGGCAGGCTAAAATGTCTTTACATATCCTTCTTTTATCTGTCCTTTTTCATAAATTTTAAATAAATTCCTCCCTAGATGCTGAGGGAAGTGGAAGTAAAAAGAACTGAGATGTGTGGACCAACTCCCCCATGGGTGTGATCTTCCTGTGCTGCAAACACGGACTCATAAAAATGAACACTAATAATAAACAAGTGAATCACCTCTAAGACCAAACCAGAGAGCCCCTCTCCCATCCTGTTTTAGTATTAAAAGTAAATATTTTAAAATTGGCCTTGAGCAATAAGTAAATTGAAGAATAAAACGCTACATAATATATCTTTCTACACACTCAGTTCTCAAATATATCCAAATAAGTCTTCATTTAAACATGTCCAAAATGATTACTTACCATCCAAAGCAAAAAAATGCAAGATAAAGGCCCAGAAGGGTGGCAACTACATGTCTTATAAAAGAGCTAGTTTTGCTGGAATGTAGATAAGTCCGGAACCAAATGGCAGCGAACAAGGCAAACAGCTGACACACTACAAAGTTGACCTGTAAAGAAAGATTAAAACTGGGTATTAGCAACAGGCGTGAACGTTCTCATTTGATGTTACATTTGAATTCTCAGGACACACACACACACACCCCCCACTACGGTTACACAAAATTTAGATCTTCCAGTTTCAAAACCAGAGCAGAGGCACAGTAACAGTGGCCAACTCGCCCTGGGCCTGTGCTGCTGCGGCCGGGACAAGTGAAGAGCCCAGAGGGGCATGGGGGTGGGGGGGCAAAGCAGCAATGGAAGCCTCTGGCACCCTGGGTTAGGTAGGGAAGCCTGTCTGAAGGGACAGAGGACGCCCCTCGAAGGGACGCACAGGGCAGGGCCAGCCTCAGGCCTTTCTCCCGCACTGTGAGAGGTACTGCAAGGAATCCCCACACAAGCAAATATACACTGGACAGGTTAGTGTTCTTGATATCAGTAACGAAACACATCTACTTAGCTTCGTATAGCTCAGGAACTTTCAAATACCTTGATGCCTTCTTTCAAGTATCTCTTAATTTAACAAAAATTTAGAGCAGCTGTGATGGAAAACACATAAGAAATCCAAAAATGGTGAGTCCCAGCACCAGCCCAGGGTAATGTGTTTTCTTTCTTTCTCCATCTCCGCCCCACCCCTCCCTTTTTCTTATTTTTATTTGCCCAGGGTAATTTAGAACCTAACAACCACCACCACCACAAAAGCCATGCAGAAGAAAGTTCGGTCAAGTGTGGCCCTCTGGAAGTGTGATGTGAGTGCTCTGGACCTCACAGGACCGCCGGAGGGCAAGGTCACAAAACAGGTGACAGCGGCCTGCAGCGGGAGCAGTGGTTCCACCCTGCAGGTTTCTGTCAGCACCCAGGAGCTGCTCTCCTCCCCCCCCCCCGCCCCGTCTCTGCCTGCACCTGGACAGCAAGCCGTCAGGGCTCTGACTCAGAGGGCCTCCTGGAGTCTCTGTGACCATCCACTCTCAACATCGGCACCTGTCAGGTCGAGAAGAGAGAGCTCGCCTCACTCCAGATCCTGAATCCAAACCTCTGCTGACCAAAAGTCTATTTAAAAAAAATGGAGCCCTTCTACACTGTTGGTGGGAATGTAAACGACGGCACCACACATCCCAAAGAAGACCTGCCCGGAAAATAAGCCCTAGCAGGATTTTTCAGGATGCTCCGAATGTAAGCCCTACCCCAAAATAAGCCCCAGGTAAGATCGACAGAGACACTGTGTATGCAACATACCACGGCTGTATTGAACTATAAAGTAATAATATTAGTATATAATTAACTGTATATAATTAAGTGTAAATATTGACACTAATACTTGAAATAAATGATAATATAAATTATAATTAAGAACTGTAAATGCCCAGGTGACGCCTCTGGATGACTCTAAACGCCTGTGTGAACAGCGGAGCTCGAGCCTCACTGCCGAGTGACCCATCGGAGCCCAGACGACAAACGAGTAATGTCACACCGACAACTGACAGATGCCCCTGTGTCTATGTGAGTCTTCAGGGTCCAGTATGCTGTGTGTTGTATTAGACCCATTTAAGCACTTGTGTGAAATAAAGAAACATTTTCTGAATTTTGATGCCTGGAATTTTTCAGTTTTTGTGTGGACCATCATTTTTTTTTTTGGTACTGGGGATCAAACTGGGGACTTTGCGCTTGTGAGGCAGGCAGTGGAACCACTGAGCTAAATCCCCGGCCCTGGACCATCATTCTTAACTGTCATCATTTTTGCTGTCACTCCTGTCGCATATGCCTTCAAATAACACTTGATTTAATGGAAACTCTATGAAGCCAGCCTACAAGAGGTCATGACTTGGGTGAAGAGTTTGTAGGATGAAATCCCTGATGGCTGTGTTGCCGGTGCACCCCACGCAAGACAGGAGGTGCCCATCTAAGGAGAGCTCTGCTGCTGGACACAAGAGACTGGGGCCAGCGGTTCTACAGGAGATGCAGTCGCAAGAAACTAGGATGGAACTCGGGGTTTGGAGAGCTATGATGATGCTCTAGAAGATGACATGAGTGCATCGAATAAATGTAGACTCTTATATATGAAAACACGTAGATTGTCGCAAGTGAAAAAATAAGACATCCTCTGAAAATAAGCCCTATTGCATCTATTGGAGCAAAATTTAAGACCCAGTCTAATTTTGGGGGAAATACAGTGTTAAAGTATTTTGAATACACTCGTTGAATAAAATATATTTTGAACATTCATTTCACCTGTTCCTTTTAATTTTGGACATTAGTATATCTCATCTACTGTTTCAAAATTTTTCTCCCTTTCATGAAAGAAACATAGAAACTGAAACAAGCTCCACGCCAGTTTGTTAATGATCTCTCCATTGGAGCTAGGCCTTCTATCACACACCAGTAACTAACTTGTAGAACCACTTAAATATCAAGACAGCTCAAAACTATTAAAAAAAAAAAAAAACTTATTACCATCCTCAACAAATCGATAAAAGCAGCCCTAGCTGGGTGTAGCACAGGCCTGTAATCCGGCACACAGGGAGGCTGAGGCAGGAGGATGGCAGATTCACATATTATCTGGGCAATTTATTGAGACCCTGTTTCAAAAGTAAAGATAAAATCTGAGGTAAGAAGGGCTGAGGACACAGCTCGGTGGTGGGCAGCTTGGGTTTGATCCCCAGTAATGTAAAAAGCATAAATAAGATAACCTTAAAAGCAGCCCCCAAATCAGTGCTTCTCCCAAATCTCTACCAGCGGAATGCAGAATGCAGAGCTTCGACCTGGTAATGCAAGGGGACTTCGGGCGAGCTCTCCTCTCCCTCCAGGTGACCAGCCGGGCCTGCAGACCCCAGGAGGGGAGGGGCGTGGAAGGGGCAGGTGGCAGCCAAGGCCAGAGGTCATGAGCACTCACGGCCCTGCCCACACTCGCTCAGCCTCCGGCCACGCTCCTTCCTTCTGTGGAGGCAGGCTGCATAATAATCACCGGGACACTAGTCAGAAACAGACTCCTGGGCCCTCAGTGCCCGGAATATTTCATTCCTCACTTCTGACATAGGGCCTTTGAAAAACTTCCTCGGGGCAAAACTCACATGCAGCTCTTAGGCAAACAAGCGTTCCAGCAATCCACACACTCTGCCACAGAGCACTGCTGACAGACCGACCTCAGAGTCAAGCAGGGTCTTTGGGACTCAAAGGCAAAAAGTGGAACCATGATAAAATCCTTATGAAGCTGGGCATGGCAATGCATGCCTGTAATCCCAGCACTCTGGGAGGCTGAGGCAGGAGGATGCAAGTTCGAGCACAGCCTAGACTACTTAGCAACTTAGTGAGACCCTGTCTCAAAATAAAAAATAAAAAATGGGATGGGGATGGAGCTCGGGTCCTGGGTTCAATCCCCAGTACTGCAAATAAATAAATAAATAAATAAATCATTATGAGAAAGTAAACAAAAGTTAAACTCAAATAAGACACCATCACACAGCATGCCTGTAAGACTGCCAAAATTTTCAAGTCTGAACACATCAAGTGTAGCCTACAGTGGTGAGCCATAGGGTCCTCGTTCCTGGCCACAGATACTTTAGAGGACTGCTGTGGTTTCCTTCTAGAACTAGGACGCTCATCTCCATGGCACAGAACGCAGCGCACAATGCCATTCAAAAAAACTGTGAGCATCTCCAGGCCCACTGAGGGGAATACAAAGAACATCGAAGTTCCCAAAGCAGCGATAAGCCTTCTTGGCTGGGGACGTTATAAAACCAGGAAACGAAATGACCTTGATCACTGCCGAGGTCCCTGGAGCGATCATCTCCGAAGGCATCGGATGAGCAGCAACAGGGAGACTCAGGGCCCTCGAGGGCGGGAATGTGCTGTCCGCCCACAGTGGTCACCAAGAAAGTGACCTTCTAAGGCTCTTACACTGTATCAGTTGCTGTAATAAAAATCCTGCCTCGAGCCACGTGGAGGGGTCTTTCAAGGAACTGACCCTACTTGTCTTCTAGGGTACAAAACAGGTCCCGGTCCCAGCAGGTAACCCCCAAACCTGAAGGCCAATAATCCTCTTTCCTACCACAAGCCAGTCACTGAGGAAACCCTGTGGCGGACTCCGCTTCCAGGCGCCTCTTCGCCTCTGCCCAGTTCATTTGGACACCAGTGCAGCACAAAAGTAAAGAAAGACAGGGAGGTCTGGCACTCAACACAGCAATTTCTCAAGTCAAAAGTATCCATCCAGGGCTGGGGATTTAGCTCAGTGGTTCCGCCACCTGTCTTGCAGGTACAAGGACCCAAGTTCGATCCCCAGTACCAAAAAAAAAAAAAGTATACATCCAGAGTTTTCTTAAAGTCACCACGAGCCCCTCTAGTACCTAGACTTTAGAAACAGAACTGCTTAGGAACTTATTACATGCTCAAAATGTTAAAAGCCATTAAGAAGATGCCAAAAAAAAAAAGTTCTAAGTATAGTGCTCGCTTCGGCAGCACATATACTAAAAAAGTTCTAAATATAAATGGAAAAAAAAGACGGAGTGAACAAGAAGTTTACCTTACTTAAATACTTTCACTGAGACACCGGGTAAGAGGAGTGATTCTTACTTCAAATGCAACCCTTTGTAAAAAAGCTGGCAACAAAACATTAGATGCAGTCCTCATCCAGTAATGGGTTTTCAATGTTCAAACAAAAGCCAAGAATTATATAATGTCTCCTTGGCCACGCTATCAAAACAACCCTTAATGAACTCTTTCCTCTTCTTCATAAAAATTCATTATTTGGCCCAGGCTGGCTTTGAACTCCAGGCGATCCTCCTGCCTCAGCCTCCGTTGTGCTGGGATCACAGGCATGCACCACCACACCGGGCTGGCTTACACATTCCTACTTCCAAGTCCAACATGCTACAAAGCCTACCCCACGAAGTGCGCCTTCCACACCCCTGCTTCCCACAGCCCGCGGCCCCTCCCTTCCCCATGCTCTGCCCGCTGCTCCGGCAGAGCACTTCAGGTGGTATCTTCCTTGATTTTGCCTTGTCACATCAGAGCTGCT